GGATGTTTATAAGGCACAGAATCCTAATGTCCTACAGACAATGGTTCATTGGTTGTTGATGGTGTACAGGAATTGGCAGTTGATATCAGAGTAGAGCTCCACCAAACAGGAGAATATGTGATATTGTAAATGATGAAGAATCAACACCATAGATTCTGTTGCATTGGAAATATTACACTGACAAGTTTAAGTAGGATGTCCCAACCTTCATCAGGTTCAGATGCACTTTCGTTTAATATTATTATAAAAAGTAAAAAGTACTGACACTTTAAAATACTGCGACACATCTAGAATACTAACAGCTAATCTCTAGGGCTAGTCTAGCCCTGCTATTTAGAATTTTAAAATGTACTCAACTGTTGAGAACTCTCATATACATAGGTAAAAGGAAGTATACTCAGTCTTAAACTCTGTATGACCTAGAAAATCCATATAAAGTATATTTCCATCAAGATCTTCTGTAGAGTATATTTTTACATGAATCAAATTTGTGTTATCTGGGAACCTGCATAATCCCAAAATTAAGACTATGTGTCATAACCCAATATTTCAAAAATAAAATATATGCCTACTTACCCTTATTTGTTTTTCTGATATACATTTTTTGTCACCCTTAATTAATATAACAGATCATATAATTTTGCTTAGCCTAATATTCTTTTTGGATTGTAAATCTGTATGGACCATGATCAGAAACCAGTGTTTGAAAGCTAAAGTTACAGTGGTCCAATTGACTATGCCCACTAAACATCTTGTCAGTCTATGTAAAGTTCAATTGTGTTGACCCCATCTTCTTTTTGCTAAGTGATAATTATGTTTTTACTTCATGAGACCAGTAAACCAGACTTATTTACAAAATGTATAAACAGTTCAGCTCAATCCATGATACTACACCTGTTTCATAATCCAGTGGAATCTGTATGTCTGTGATGTCACCAAAAGGTATAAAGGCTGCATGGAGAATTTTTTCATCCACCTCCTCTGCTAGACCACCTGCAAATATCACCAATAAAGAAAAGATAAAAAAATATGACAAACTGACAAAAACACTGTAATGATTCTATCTGTAATTGCAATTGTGCAGTTAAAAACTACTGACACTATCCAATTATTGACAATTTTGTTCACTGACTGTGATCTGTACATTTAACTATCACAAACTCTTTGAGTCCAACTGTGAGGACCATCTCTTTCACATCATTGTATCTAGGAAAAGCAAACATTTGGTTCATGCTTTGCTTAAATATGAGTTGAGCCCTCCCGGAATGGATTTAAAAAGCAAATTACCTGTCAAAACAGTCATCATACCAAAGTGTCATTACCTGTCAAAACAGCCATCATACCAAACTATCATTTCTCTGAACCATACCTGTTATCAATATTTAAAGGAAATTGACTTAATTGCTGTAACCACTGTAGACCATAATGGACTCATCCATATCAATGCATGGTAGAGCCTACTGAAGTTACATAGCAGTGACAGACTTAATTGCTGTAACCAGGTATAACAATTAACTTGGATGAATGTTGGCTAGTCTTGAGTTAGTAGGTCTTGAATTCAACTCTCAATTAATAAGAAGATCAGTCTTTTCTAATCCTGAAAATGCTCACATGTGCTGTTCAGAAGATACAAAATCTTTATTTAAAGTTGCATCAAGTGAACAGGAAGCAAGCTCTTGTGAGCTACTACTGCAAGAATAAGGTCAGTATACATCTGTAGATATAGCTATGAATATACATGTATATCCTGTGGCAGATTTTAATTGTACATAGGGTTACAGTCGCCTTCTAGCTAAATTGAACTAGAGGGAATTTCCCTTTAAGTTTATCTCAATCAGAAGAGCTGTAGACTGGGAAGCTGGGGGTTGCAGGTTCAAACCCCAGTTAAACTACGTACCACTACTCTCTTTCCTGTTATAACTGAAACAAATTTAAATGGCACCCTTTACATAATGTATGAATTTCAAAACTAGTATTGTTACAACAGAGATTTCCAGATAATATTAGTCCACAACCGAATACTGTTACTGTTGCTCTTCAAATCATATTTATAGTCAATTATAAATAATTGTACATGTCATCAGGTCCAGTACACTCTGCCGATTGAGCTATATAGCTATAAAGACCTACAAGGTATATAGCTATATCCACCTATAAATTATAGCCGTATTGAGCTATTTTTTCTCAGATTTCAATTTTCATTAAATTAAACAAAGTCAAATTTTCATTAAATTAAACAAAGTCGCACAAAAAAATAAGGTTTATGGTAGTCCGAATTCTTCTGACGTTTTATCAACTTTTTTTTATATCGGTCTGTCGTCGATTAACCGACGACAGACCGATATAAAAAAAGTCGATAAAACGTCAGAATAATTCGGACTAGGTTTATGGTAATGTTGACTACAAAATTAAAAAGCATACAGTTATACATGTTTATTTTCATTTTTCATAAATGTAAAATTTCCGTTTTTTTTTGCATCATTGTTTTTTTTATAAAGAATACTCATATTTAATGTCTTTTGTTATCAACATCATGATCATCATAATCTTCTTTTAAAAGCCACTTTGTATCGTTTTCCTTAAGAAAAGAAAATCACTTGAAAATAGCTCAAAAGACCTATTTCAGATCTATAGGTCAATAGAGAATAGACGGCCTCACGTAACATTTTGACATTGTGTGTTATCAAACGTGTTTTCTTATATATTTTTTTTACTTAACTTTAAGTTAAATTGGTGAAATGCAATACATTACCGCCAACCGGCGAAACGCATGTTTCATCATAAACATCGCAATACAGTACTGGAAACAATTACTTTGCAGTAAATCAATAACAATACATTTTTGGATAATTTTAACCGGAATATCATGGGTTGTAAACCATTCAATATTTGATTAACACTAATAAAGTGAAACTTACCAACATAGACAATACGTTTTGTGTTCGTAGTAGCCATGTTTTTTTCTGTTTGTGCATATAATTAACATTCGATCATTGAATAATCCCTTTCTCTGACAAGAACCAATTCTGATAAAACAAGTAACGTGGACCATAGTTCTATGCGATTTATTATCATAAAATCCTTCGTTTCCATTCACTAAAATACATTTTGCTTATGAAACTATTTCATGCACGAGAATATTGACGACTTCCATATCATTACCACAGTGGGTTTACTCTGTTGGATGCTAAATGTGCACTTTCCGAATTTAGTACTCCCGAAATATATTGTTTGATCGCTCGCAGTAAAACGTTTGTCACGAAAGAATCTAGACTGGAAGCGTCTAAGAGACTGTTATTGGCTCGAAATTCAAAATAGCATCAGCTGACGTCTGCAGGTGCTTTGTATTTCAAACGGGTAAGTTTTACTGTGATTTGTTTTGATGCCGGCAGAATGCCTGTATTTTTGTTTTGTTGTTTTGAATGTATCGTTGATTAATTTGTGGAAAAGTAAAGTATTTCATGGGAGTTTACTTTTGGCGATTTAAATATATTTTTGTATTTGTCTGTTTGTTTGTGGACTGAAATCATTGACATTTCTCAGTTGGAAAATAAGTGTTTTTTTGTTGTTGTATTATTTTCGGTTTTAAAACAGCTCTTCCAGCGTATGTTATCTATCAACTAATGTCTACAAGTCCACGCGAACTTTAAGTTAAGTGAAGTTTATTCCGGTGCAGGATAATCAATTTGAACAATCCTTTTCTGATATCGGACGGGTTCAAAATCATACAATATGATACTCATAGTACATAATAGTACTAGTGATATACAAAATGAACCATAAAATATAAATAATATAGACAGTTAAGTTTCGTTAAATTTTGATTCATGTTAACGTTCATTGGCTCTGTAATTATAAGGTCTTGGTTTTCCCAAAACTTTCAAAAGTCTATAACTTTGCTACACTCCCGGGGATCCATGCACAGACACCAGAATGGCTGTATGTACATGTACACACTTCCTTAAAGGTTGATGTTTGCATGAATATTTATGTTTTTACTGAAAGAAACATGAAATTAATAATGTAAAGGTTGGTTAACCATGTATTGTACAACTGATCAAGTTGTGACTTCATATTTTTCTTCATATTTGCTTCCTGCAGGTGCAACCAGAAGGTCAGCGATATGGTGATGGATAACAAGGTTGCCTACTTTCTCAACAGCTGTGACGCCGACACAATTAGCAAATATATCAACTGTCTGAAGACAAAGATATTTGCTAAAAGAAGTAACTCGGACACAGGTTATTGTCTAATTTATAGTACAAACAGGGGTAGAAATGTGTAAGAAATATATACCACTAATTTATCTGACTTTGCAGATACACTGTTGCATAAAGTTGTGTTCAGACAAATAGCATGTGTACTGCATCAACAAGTGGTTGGAGCTGGACATGAATTGATTAATTTGTATGTCAGTGTAATAATCATATAAATGTTATTTTCAATATCGGATTAGATATGTGTGATGTTAAATTCATTACATATTAATAGCTATCAGCAGTTTCTCCAGAATGAGGGTTTGTATAAAGTAAATCCCCACTTTCGAATTTTCTAATCACACCCCAACCCCTCTTTTTTCACATATGGAGAAAAACACTTATTACCTCCAGGTTTTTTATGACATATATATGTGTATCTTATATATTTCCTGTGAAACAGTATTCAAGATAACACTATCTTTATATATAATTAATATACTCAGTTGAATTCCTGAAAAACTGAAGGAAAAAGAAAGGATAATTAATGGTGGACAACATTGATGAAAAAATATGTACATACTGATGTCATCAGTGATATTTTTGCCCAGTTTTACAGCGGTTGATTTACCTAGCAAAAAACTGCTGTTAAATTTACATGTTAGGTAGAAAATGCAAGTTGGTCATACTACCATAGCAGTAAGTAGCGATTGTTTGGGGTCGTTTTTTTTTTTAATTTGACAATTGTTGAATATATAGATCATTAGATAACAACTGACTACGTATACAAATGTGTCAAATTTATGATTTGCAAAGTGCTGACATTTAAAGGATTATAAAAAAAACAGTAGATCAGAATAATCTTGTTTTACTTATGGACAACAGTGGTGAGATATAAATTAAAGGCCCCATATATAATAACATTTGATTTAAATAAATGAATGATTGGTAGAACCAAAATCTTGACTTCTAATTGGTAATTGTCAGAAATAGTCTTTTCATTTTAAGATCTTATGCAGAGGTACATTCATATTGAAGAAAACATGATTTTCAAGCTTGATGAATGTTTATGTATGAAATACTGAAACTATTCAGGAAAGTCTGTGGTATTTACATTCCATTTCATGTGATTCCTTTTTTCCCCTAGAAACGAGATCATGTGTGGTGGTAGACTGTGGAAGTGGTCATGAAGGGACTGTTAATTTAGCCCAGTATTACATGTCCCTCTGTCGCAAATACGGACTTCTCCCAAATGAACGAACAACGCTGCTGTCCAGTGTAGACCAGATAATAGCATTACAGCTCTGTCTGGCAGAGAAAAATAAGCAGGTACAGTATAAACCTCAAGTGTTTATAGCCAGCAGGTGCATCATTGGTGAAGCTGACAAGTAGTGGTAGTTGGTTCAGTCTATTTATTACCACTTTTTTGGTTTTTGTAAAGGCTTGGAAAATGCATAGAATCGCCATGGATACCAAAGGGTGAAACCTAAAACTTGTAATATATAGTATTAAAGCCTATTTAGGTCACCTGACCATATAGGTCATGGTATAACCTATTGCCATCCGTCTTCTTCTGTCAACCTGTGTTAACTTTTATCTTGCTATCACGATAACTTGAGTAAAAGTGAATGGATTTTGTTATGCTGCTTTATATATTTATCAATAAAATATCGGACAAGTTCAAAAATGGTTCCGATCAGACAGTAACTGGCAGAGTTTAATTTCTGATACTGATTTGATGACTTGAAATTTAAGAATTGTTTTCAAGTGGCATTTCACAGGAAAACATTGGATTTTAACTTGGCGTTCAAAGAAGACCACATATACTATGTTTCAGTGTATGTATATGTGCAAAAATAAAAAGCAGCATAGTGCTATGAAAAATATTCTCAGTTTAATAAGGAAATGACAATTGTTACAATATACTTTACTACCAAGCCATTGTGTTGCCCATGTGTTTGGATTTGGATGTGGAAAAACACTTAAAATTTCTACCTTTACTTTTACCTTTGTCTACATTTTAGGGGAATGGAGAGTTTGAAGTGGAGACCAGCACTGTGATACAAGCCAACAAAGATATAGTGAAACACAAACTTTCTCTAGTCAAGTCTGCTCAGGAGTGTGCTGGACAGAGTCGTCTCCCCTCCATGGAGACTGATGAAGTGTACCCAGTAGGAGACGAAATAAAACAGGAATACCAAGCATTCCTTAAACACTGTAACTACATCGACATGTGTGAAGTACTACTAGCTGTGTGTGAGGCGTGTCACAGCAACCAAAGTCTCCAGGCTGAACTTAGTGTAACAGATATCATCATCATAGGCCTTCCCAGAAACCAAACAGAGGTAGGCTGCAGATAAACCAGTGGTTGTATTGTTTTATGTAGAAATAAAGTATACCACTCTTAAGATATAAGCATTTAAAACAAAATTTTAACTATCGTGTTATACATATGAATATGTTGTAGAGAGCAATGGTTGAGTACCTTTGTGAGGGGCGTTTGACAAAGAACATCACATTAGAGGTTTCCCTGGAGATAGATGAGGGGACAGATGTTAAAGAAGATGACATCAATGTCCTCTACAGTGATGTAACTATTCAAGAGGCTCTAGGGGAAAGTGGTGCAGACAAGAGCTTCTTCCAACCTACACCTGCATCAGGCCAGCCCAGATCTCTCACAGAGGTAAGCAATCCTCTGGTCTGTTGATGTGGTATAGACTCATCTCAGTTTATAACATTCAAGGTCTCAGACGGAGGTATAGATTTATTACATTGTTAAGATATTTCTTTTAAATAACATTTATACAGAATGCTCACCTTCTGTGTAATCTGAGTTCTTATTTTGGTAAAATCTATTTGTCTTGTATTGTTCTTTTAATAGAACAAAATATAAAATAGAAGTGTTTTATTTTAGTCCTACATACAGCTAGTGTATGGGTCGTACCTGGAACTCCTGGTGAACTCTCGTGCAGAGCTGGCCTTAGCTCGTTCTCTCAACACACCAGAAAGGGAGCTAACTCATCAGGCTTTCACTGACATCAAACATGCATCTCAGGCAAAGAACATGACCATGTATCAGGTTAGTGTTACTGGACCCATCACTCACAACTTGTAACAAGTTTAGCAGTACAAACATACAGAGGGACACTCTACACCCATCTCATTTGTGTGTCTGAGATTTGTTTCACATACAGGAGGGGGTGGGAAGAGAACACCTCATTCTGCAGTCATAATCAAACATATTGATCTAATGATGCTATTTTATGACAGTGAACCCGAAGACAAATAAACAAATACTTTAACAACAGAATATTAAACCTTGATCAGTCTGTCACTTATTAAACACTATACAACCTGACTTAGGTTGAAACAGTTCCTGTATGCATCCAAGAGCATTATCAGTTGAGGTTTAATTTGACAGTGCTATGATACAGTAGACTTATTTTGTGTTACTTTGTAGACCGCTGTATCCTATGTGATGAAGATCCGCCTTGGAGGTAAGGGGTACGCCCCAGACCCCAATAGTCCCCTGGCTCAGCATGTCAAGGGTCTTGGCGAGTTTGTCTCTCTAATTCATAAACTACAGACAGTCATAGAGGAGGAAACTGATAAAAGGTAGGTCGCAGCCGTGAAATTGGATATTTAATGACACTTAACAAATAAATGTCATGTCTTCAGAGATGCTGCCTTTGTTGTTGCCAATTTAACTCTTATATTGAAAACCTGATTTGAAGGACAACCTGCATTAGTCAGACTACATTTGATTGTTTTAGAAATTACATTTGGACACCATGTAACTAGATTTGTACTGTGATATTTTTTTAATTGTAGATATGTAGTCCAAATATGATCTTGTGTTATATGGTTATGACTCCTAGATAATCCTGAATCTAGGAATTCGGCAAAACAGGGGCCATGTGCCATATATGATATACATGCACATTCAAGGTTTGAATGGATCTTATCATTTGAGATAGATTTAAAGGAACTGCTCCATTAATATAGACGAAAACTAGAAAAGAACTGTTTGTGTGCTTTTTCCTTCGGTATCCATGGTGAATCTGGAAAAGAAAAAAGATAAACATATGATTTGATTTATGATGATACAGAAACTTGTACTTTGAGGACTCGAACAAAATCCAATGGCATGTGATTATTTTTTCAGAGTATCCTGTCGTAAAGTATTAAACATCATCAAGAAGGAGATCATCAAATGTCGTGAGAATCGCCTCCGTATCAGCAATGTTGAGTCTGTGTGTGAAAAGCTCCAAAAAGAGGTGGTCCGTGTCATTAACATGTTTGAATCATCTGTCTCCAGTTCCCCAGATAAAGTAAGTATTTATGTGACTCTGTCTTCCTTGAATCATTCCACTTTGGTTTGAAGTTGTTTGATAATGTGGTTTGTAAAATTATAAGTACCTCTGCGTCTGATCATTTCATTGTTCAGTAAAGGAGAAAAAATTGTGACTTTAACATACATACATCATTAAATTTCGAAGTTAGCATGATTTTTCAAAGTGTAATTGATGTTTATATATAAATAAAAGATAACTGGGTCAGACTTGTTTCTATAGAAATAATCTCTAAACAGATTGAAGTGTACAAGTATATCCTTTTCTTACAGGCTGTAAGGGATGGGGGATCTGCTGTGGGTAGACACACTCTCAAGGTACTGCGATATATTGTCGACAAACTGGTGTCGGGGATGGATGATTTCAAAGTGCAGACACTTGACTTCCTGTGTGATGGATTCTCTAGTCAAAGAACACCTGTACACTTCCCCTGTATCATGTCACAGTTCAGGTATGTAATAACCCAGGTTAATTTACCTGTACACTTCCCCTGTATCATGTCACAGTTCAGGTATGTATTAACCCAGGTTAATTTTCCTGTACACTTTCCCTGTATCATGTCACAGTTCAGGTATGTATTAACCCAGGTAAATTTACCTGTACACTTCTCCTGTATCATGTCACAGTTCAGGTATTAATCCCAGTTAATTTACCTGTACACTTCCCCTGTATCATGTCACAGTTCAGGTATTAACCCAGGTTAATTTACCTGTATACTTCCACTGTATTATGTCACAGTTCAGGTATGTATGTACACAGGTAAATTTACCTGTACACTTTCCCTGTATCCTGTCACAGTTTAGGTATGTATAGATCTACACAAGTAAATTTACCTGTACACTTCCCCTGTATCATGTCATAGTTCAGGTATGTATCTACACAGGTTAATTTACCTGTACACTTTCCCTGTATCCTGTCACAGTTCAGGTATGTATCTCAGTTCAGGTATGTATCTACATACTGTCAGGCTAATTTATCTGTGAACTTTACCTATATCATTTCCTTTAATCAGACCAAAATCCTGTTTATTACAATTTTATGTTATTTGATATTCTGTGTTTATACTTGGTAAATCTTGAAGAAAAACCTCCCTTCACACGAAACAAAATGAAACAACGTGATAATCTTATAAATGACCATCAAATTTCAATTCCAGTGTTGACAGATTTTTTTTCAAGTTGAACTGTATTATCATTAAAGCCTATGTATTTTGTACAGGTCCCCTGATGAGTACCTTGACAGTCCTGATGACCCGTACAATAAGAGTCTGTCTGACCGCCTGCTGTCTCAGCGATCATCAGAGGTACACACCTTTAGATTGCTGCTTGGCTGACTTACTGAATAATTGAGCTAAATTAAGAGTTAAAAAGGTGCAAGGCTTGGATGGCTAGTATAGCATTTATTAAAGTTGAGAGGGTAAAAGACCTGCTGACTAAGAGTACTTTAAAGTTGAGAGGGTAAAAGACCTGTTGACAAAAAGTACTTTAAAGTTGAGAGGGTAAACGACCTGTTGACAAAGAGTACTTTAAAGTTGAGAGGGTAAAAGACCTGCTGCTAAGAGTACTTTAAAGTTAAGAGGGTAAAAGACCTGCTGCTAAGAGTACTTTAAAGTTGAGAGGGTAAAAGACCTGCTGCTAAGAGTACTTTAAAGTTGAGAGGGTAAAAGACCTGCTGCTAAGAGTACTTTAAAGTTGAGAGGGTAAAAGACCTGCTGCTAAGAGTACTTTAAAGTTGAGAGGGTAAAAGACCTGCTGCTAAGAGTACTTTAAAGTTGAGAGGGTAAAAGACCTGCTGCTAAGAGTACTTTAAAGTTGAGAGGGTAAAAGACCTGCTGCTAAGAGTACTTTAAAGTTGAGAGGGTAAAAGACCTGCTGCTAAGAGTACTTTAAAGTTGAGAGGGTAAAAGACCTGCTGCTAAGAGTACTTTAAAGTTGAGAGGGTAAAAGACCTGCTGCTAAGAGTACTTTAAAGTTGAGAGGGTAAAAGACCTGCTGCTAAGAGTACTTTAAAGTTGAGAGGGTAAAAGACCTGCTGCTAAGAGTACTTTAAAGTTGAGAGGGTAAAAGACCTGCTGCTAAGAGTACTTTAAAGTTGAGAGGGTAAAAGACCTGCTGCTAAGAGTACTTTAAAGTTGAGAGGGTAAAAGACCTGCTGCTAAGAGTACTTTAAAGTTGAGAGGGTAAAAGACCTGCTGCTAAGAGTACTTTAAAGTTGAGAGGGTAAAAGACCTGCTGCTAAGAGTACTTTAAAGTTGAGAGGGTAAAAGACCTGCTGCTAAGAGTACTTTAAAGTTGAGAGGGTAAAAGACCTGCTGCTAAGAGTACTTTAAAGTTGAGAGGGTAAAAGACCTGCTGCTAAGAGTACTTTAAAGTTGAGAGGGTAAAAGACCTGCTGCTAAGAGTACTTTAAAGTTGAGAGGGTAAAAGACCTGCTGCTAAGAGTACTTTAAAGTTGAGAGGGTAAAAGACCTGCTGCTAAGAGTACTTTAAAGTTGAGAGGGTAAAAGACCTGCTGCTAAGAGTACTTTAAAGTTGAGAGGGTAAAAGACCTGCTGCTAAGAGTACTTTAAAGTTGAGAGGGTAAAAGACCTGCTGCTAAGAGTACTTTAAAGTTGAGAGGGTAAAAGACCTGCTGCTAAGAGTACTTTAAAGTTGAGAGGGTAAAAGACCTGCTGCTAAGAGTACTTTAAAGTTGAGAGGGTAAAAGACCTGCTGCTAAGAGTACTTTAAAGTTGAGAGGGTAAAAGACCTGCTGCTAAGAGTACTTTAAAGTTGAGAGGGTAAAAGACCTGCTGCTAAGAGTACTTTAAAGTTGAGAGGGTAAAAGACCTGCTGCTAAGAGTACTTTAAAGTTGAGAGGGTAAAAGACCTGCTGCTAAGAGTACTTTAAAGTTGAGAGGGTAAAAGACCTGCTGCTAAGAGTACTTTAAAGTTGAGAGGGTAAAAGACCTGCTGCTAAGAGTACTTTAAAGTTGAGAGGGTAAAAGACCTGCTGCTAAGAGTACTTTAAAGTTGAGAGGGTAAAAGACCTGCTGCTAAGAGTACTTTAAAGTTGAGAGGGTAAAAGACCTGCTGCTAAGAGTACTTTAAAGTTGAGAGGGTAAAAGACCTGCTGCTAAGAGTACTTTAAAGTTGAGAGGGTAAAAGACCTGCTGCTAAGAGTACTTTAAAGTTGAGAGGGTAAAAGACCTGCTGCTAAGAGTACTTTAAAGTTGAGAGGGTAAAAGACCTGCTGCTAAGAGTACTTTAAAGTTGAGAGGGTAAAAGACCTGCTGCTAAGAGTACTTTAAAGTTGAGAGGGTAAAAGACCTGCTGCTAAGAGTACTTTAAAGTTGAGAGGGTAAAAGACCTGCTGCTAAGAGTACTTTAAAGTTGAGAGGGTAAAAGACCTGCTGCTAAGAGTACTTTAAAGTTGAGAGGGTAAAAGACCTGCTGCTAAGAGTACTTTAAAGTTGAGAGGGTAAAAGACCTGCTGCTAAGAGTACTTTAAAGTTGAGAGGGTAAAAGACCTGCTGCTAAGAGTACTTTAAAGTTGAGAGGGTAAAAGACCTGCTGCTAAGAGTACTTTAAAGTTGAGAGGGTAAAAGACCTGCTGCTAAGAGTACTTTAAAGTTGAGAGGGTAAAAGACCTGCTGCTAAGAGTACTTTAAAGTTGAGAGGGTAAAAGACCTGCTGCTAAGAGTACTTTAAAGTTGAGAGGGTAAAAGACCTGCTGCTAAGAGTACTTTAAAGTTGAGAGGGTAAAAGACCTGCTGCTAAGAGTACTTTAAAGTTGAGAGGGTAAAAGACCTGCTGCTAAGAGTACTTTAAAGTTGAGAGGGTAAAAGACCTGCTGCTAAGAGTACTTTAAAGTTGAGAGGGTAAAAGACCTGCTGCTAAGAGTACTTTAAAGTTGAGAGGGTAAAAGACCTGCTGCTAAGAGTACTTTAAAGTTGAGAGGGTAAAAGACCTGCTGCTAAGAGTACTTTAAAGTTGAGAGGGTAAAAGACCTGCTGCTAAGAGTACTTTAAAGTTGAGAGGGTAAAAGACCTGCTGCTAAGAGTACTTTAAAGTTGAGAGGGTAAAAGACCTGCTGCTAAGAGTACTTTAAAGTTGAGAGGGTAAAAGACCTGCTGCTAAGAGTACTTTAAAGTTGAGAGGGTAAAAGACCTGCTGCTAAGAGTACTTTAAAGTTGAGAGGGTAAAAGACCTGCTGCTAAGAGTACTTTAAAGTTGAGAGGGTAAAAGACCTGCTGCTAAGAGTACTTTAAAGTTGAGAGGGTAAAAGACCTGCTGCTAAGAGTACTTTAAAGTTGAGAGGGTAAAAGACCTGCTGCTAAGAGTACTTTAAAGTTGAGAGGGTAAAAGACCTGCTGCTAAGAGTACTTTAAAGTTGAGAGGGTAAAAGACCTGCTGCTAAGAGTACTTTAAAGTTGAGAGGGTAAAAGACCTGCTGCTAAGAGTACTTTAAAGTTGAGAGGGTAAAAGACCTGCTGCTAAGAGTACTTTAAAGTTGAGAGGGTAAAAGACCTGCTGCTAAGAGTACTTTAAAGTTGAGAGGGTAAAAGACCTGCTGCTAAGAGTACTTTAAAGTTGAGAGGGTAAAAGACCTGCTGCTAAGAGTACTTTAAAGTTGAGAGGGTAAAAGACCTGCTGCTAAGAGTACTTTAAAGTTGAGAGGGTAAAAGACCTGCTGCTAAGAGTACTTTAAAGTTGAGAGGGTAAAAGACCTGCTGCTAAGAGTACTTTAAAGTTGAGAGGGTAAAAGACCTGCTGCTAAGAGTACTTTAAAGTTGAGAGGGTAAAAGACCTGCTGCTAAGAGTACTTTAAAGTTGAGAGGGTAAAAGACCTGCTGCTAAGAGTACTTTAAAGTTGAGAGGGTAAAAGACCTGCTGCTAAGAGTACTTTAAAGTTGAGAGGGTAAAAGACCTGCTGCTAAGAGTACTTTAAAGTTGAGAGGGTAAAAGACCTGCTGCTAAGAGTACTTTAAAGTTGAGAGGGTAAAAGACCTGCTGCTAAGAGTACTTTAAAGTTGAGAGGGTAAAAGACCTGCTGCTAAGAGTACTTTAAAGTTGAGAGGGTAAAAGACCTGCTGCTAAGAGTACTTTAAAGTTGAGAGGGTAAAAGACCTGCTGCTAAGAGTACTTTAAAGTTGAGAGGGTAAAAGACCTGCTGCTAAGAGTACTTTAAAGTTGAGAGGGTAAAAGACCTGCTGCTAAGAGTACTTTAAAGTTGAGAGGGTAAAAGACCTGCTGCTAAGAGTACTTTAAAGTTGAGAGGGTAAAAGACCTGCTGCTAAGAGTACTTTAAAGTTGAGAGGGTAAAAGACCTGCTGCTAAGAGTACTTTAAAGTTGAGAGGGTAAAAGACCTGCTGCTAAGAGTACTTTAAAGTTGAGAGGGTAAAAGACCTGCTGCTAAGAGTACTTTAAAGTTGAGAGGGTAAACAACCTGTTGACAAAGAGTACTTTAAAGTTGAGAGGGTAAAATACCTGTCGACAAAGAGTACTTAAAAGTTGAGAGGGTAAACGACCTGTTGACAAAGAGTACTTTAAAGTTGAGAGGGTAAACGACCTGCTGCTAAGAGTACTTTAAAGTTGAGAGAGTAAAAGACCTGCTGCTAAGAGTGCTATAAAGTTGAGAGGGTAAAAGACCTGTTGACTTAGAGTTCTTTAAAGTTGAGAGGGTAAAAGACCTGCTGCTAAGAGTACTTAAAAGTTGAGAGGCTAAAAGACCTGCTGCTAAGAGTTCTTTTAAGTTGAGAGGGTAAACGACCTGTTGACTAAGAGTACTTTAAAGTTGAGAGGGTAAAAGACCTGCTGCTAAGAGTACTTTAAAGTTTAGAGGGTAAAAGACCTGTTGACAAAGAGTACTTTAAAGTTGAGAGGGTAAAAGGCCTGCTGACTAAGAGTACTTTAAAGTTGAGAGGGTAAAAGACCTGCTGCTAAGAGTATTTTTAAGTTGAGAGAGTAAAAGATTATTTTTTCATATTTATTTTTTGTAAATGTACAGTATAACCCCACTATACCACCACCTTCTGTTCAAGGACATATTGGCGTTATAACAAGCTGGCGGTATAAGTTGTCCCTGTTAAATGTGGATGAATGCTTGTTTGGTTTGGCACACATACCCAACACTTAATACTGAAAACTCCAGCATATCTGTATATGTTTTTGCAGTTTTTAAGATACACAATCATTTTTGAAAGAGTAATTAGTTTGGAAATATTTAATTAGATCTCATTCTGATATCAGTCACGTTGCAGCACTGTGTTGTATCTTTGAACAAGATACTTTACTCTGCTAGTTCCTGTCTACTCAACTGTAAGTGAGTACGTGGTTGGGAAGTGCTGGAAGTGTTGAATGCTTGCTGTGAGTTGAAATGGCAGCTCCGGCTGTATGCTCCCCAGGGAGTTGAGAAAGATAATGGCTGGTTGCAAAGGCCCTATAACCATGGATAATAACTTGTGAACTGCTTTGAGACGACCTACAAACTAGGTTGTGATAAAGCGGTTTTTACAGGACCTCAAATTATTATTATTATTATAATATCATCAGAGTCCATTTCTTCAAACAAATTTCAGCATCAAAAGTGTCCAACAATACTTGAGTGGGTTGCAAGCATCTGACCATTTCAATAAACTGTTTCCTAGTCAAACGTAAATCGGTATTAAGATCAAGCTCATCTTGGACTTGTTGTAACTTCATTATTTGTGGTAGCAAGTTGTGTTACATCCTAATAAAACACTACTGTGAAATCAATGACACAGGTTAATTTCTTGGATGGAGTGGGGCTGTTTTCGGGGACCAACAAAGCGATATTTGCATGGCTGTACTCAAAACATCATGGCATATAAGTGTGGGGAAATCCATTAAGATAGAACTGATGGTGGTATGTGAGTTTGGTGGTAGGCGAGTTTGGTGGTATGTGAGTTTGGTGGTAGGTGAGTTTGGTGGTAGATTAGTTTGGTGGTAGGTGAGTTTGGTGGTAGGTGAGTTTGGTGTTATGTGAGTTTGGTGGTAGGTGAGTTTGGGGGTAGGTGAGTTTGGTGGTAGGTGAGTTTGGTGGTACAATGGGTGGTGATACATCAAGGTTATACTGTATATCTATCACAAATAACTGTCTTAAATGTTGGACATGTGTACTAGTCATGTGAATTTCATTTTCAGACACCAATCCACCAGAAGCGATACAAGTCCTGCATGGCCTGGGCTAACCCCACACATAATGAGGATATCAAGGGACAGAACATTATACTCACACAGTCCGAGGTCACACTCGTCCCAAGGTATGTATACTCACACAGTCAGAGGTCACACTCCTTCCAAGGTATGTGTACTCACAGCCAGAGGTCACACTCGTTCCAAGGTATGTATACTCACACAGCCAGAGGTAACACTCGTCCTAAGGTATGTATACTCACTCAGTCAGAGGTCACACTCAACCAAAGGTATGTATACTCACAGTCAGAGGTCACACACGTCCCATGGTATGTATACTCACACTGTCAGAGGTCACACTCGTCCTAAGGTATGTATACTCGCAGTCAGAGGTCACACTCGTCCGCAGGTATGCATACTCATAGCCAGAGGTCACACTCGTCCGCAGGTATGTATACTCACACTGTCAGAGGTCACACTCAACCAAAGGTATGTATACTCACACTGTCAGAGGTCACACTCAACCAAAGGTATGTATACTCACAGCCAGAGGTCACACTCGTCCCAAGGTATGTATACTCGCAGTCAGAGGTCACACCCGTCCCAAGGTATGTATACTCACACTGTCAGAGGTCACACTCGTCCCAAGGTTTTTATACTCACACAGAGTTCACACTCTTCCCTACGTATATATACTCAGTCAAAAGTAATCCTCACAACGTTCATACAATTAAACAATTTCATATTTAAAGCAATATTTCTACATTTCTCTTCATGTTAAGGATCCTCTAATGTGTTCCTGCTGAATATATTCCAAATGCCTTGTATAATCAGTACAACTGATGGGGAAAGTCTCTGTAATAGGGTTAATTGTCAGAAAATGTTCAAGATATATATATTTGATAACAATGGAAACCTGTTGATAATTCAATTTTTCAGTAATTCAAGTCTGACAAGTAGTTATTGTAAACATAGATTTACACCTTGTTTGGTAATATTGATATGATGTAATTGTTTATAATTGATTGCTTGAAACTAAAATATTTTAAATATCTATTCACAAGAAACAACGACCATTTCCACATGTTTATATGGATGCAGTTAAACCCTACAGGAAATACCTTGGTATGTAAAATGTTTCATTTTGATTCCAGCAAAACCATTGTACACCCTGGAAAACACACAAACCAGGAGCTGGGAGTTGCCAATCGCATAGCAGAGACCATCAATGATCAGGAGAATGTACCCAGTACCGCTATAGAGGTCAAAGAGGTATCAGGTCAAGGTCAGGATGAATCAAAGGTCAACAAAGCAAAAGTCAACAAAACCACTAAAGTGACCAAAAAGATTCCTGTCAAAGGACAGAAGCGCCCCCTTGTGTCAGGAGATTCTCCCCCAAGAGCCAACAAGAAAACGAAAACAGAGAGCAAAACATGTCGCAGGAAACTTCTTCCACAGGTCAAAGGTCAACAGCAATTAACAAAGTTCTTCCGAGTATGATTATTGGCAAGTGGTTGTGGGTTTTTTCATAGATTAGTGTAACTTAAGTAATTTAACTGTAGTAGGCTAAGTATAGTCTGGTTTTATTGCTATTATATGTATCATTTGATGTGTATGGTGATTTTATTTTTAGATGTGATAGTCATTTATATTTTCACCCCTATACGATCTCTGTCTGGTGATTTTAATTATTTTTCTTTTTCATAAATATTTACCCATGTAGTTGTCTTCTATTGATCAAACAATTTATTTTATTGTAAAAAAATATCTTGCCATGTTTTAAAGTTATATGAGGCAATATTTTTTTCTGTACAAAATAGAATATGGCACAGTACCTGAAACCCTTAGATACAGTGATGATGTTGATGATAGGTGTAAGTTGTAGTTAGAGAATGGCACAGTACATGAAACCCTTAGATACAGTGATGATGATGTTGATAGGTGTAAGTTGTAGTTAGAGAATGACACAGTACATGAAACCCTTAGATACAGTGATGATGATGTTGATGATAGGTGTAAGTTGTAGTTAGAGAATGACACAGTGCATGAAACCCTTAGATACAGTGATGATGATGTTGATGATAGGTGTAAGTTGTAGTTAGAGAATGACACAGTGCATGAAACCCTTAGATACAGTGATGATGATGTTGATGATAGGTGTAAGTTGTAGTTAGAGAATGACACAGTGCATGAAACCCTTAGATACAGTGATGATGATGTTGATGATAGGTGTAAGTTGTAGTTAGAGAATGACACAGTGCATGAAACCCTTAGATACAGTGATGATGATGTTGATGATAGGTGTAAGTTGTAGTTAGAGAATGACACAGTGCATGAAACCCTTAGATACAGTGATGATGATGTTGATGATAGGTGTAAGTTGTAGTTAGAGAATGACACAGTGCATGAAACCCTTAGATACAGTGATGATGATGTTGATGATAGGTGTAAGTTGTAGTTAGAGAATGACACAGTGCATGAAACCCTTAGATACAGTGATGATGATGTTGATGATAGGTGTAAGTTGTAGTTAGAGAATGACACAGTGCATGAAACCCTTAGATACAGTGATGATGATGTTGATGATAGGTGTAAGTTGTAGTTAGAGAATGACACAGTGCATGAAACCCTTAGATACAGTGATGATGATGTTGATGATAGGTGTAAGTTGTAGTTAGAGAATGACACAGTGCATGAAACCCTTAGATACAGTGATGATGATGTTGATGATAGGTGTAAGTTGTAGTTAGAGAATGACACAGTGCATGAAACCCTTAGATACAGTGATGATGATGTTGATGATAGGTGTAAGTTGTAGTTAGAGAATGACACAGTGCATGAAACCCTTAGATACAGTGATGATGATGTTGATGATAGGTGTAAGTTGTAGTTAGAGAATGACACAGTGCATGAAACCCTTAGATACAGTGATGATGATGTTGATGATAGGTGTAAGTTGTAGTTAGAGAATGACACAGTGCATGAAACCCTTAGATACAGTGATGATGATGTTGATAGGTGTAAGTTGTAGTTAGAGAATGACACAGTACATGAAACCCTTAGATACAGTGATGATGATGTTGATAGGTGTAAGTTGTAGTTAGAGAATATTCAATCATATATATACTCAGGAAAATGGGGAATGCAATTATTTTTGAAAATATAATGTTTATATCACACTACATGGTATATACAACTCTATAAATCAGTATATGATATTATTTTTAATTTAAATGTTTGTTTTAATTTATTGCAATGAAAATATTTATTCAAGAAAACTTCACAATACAGTGTAACAAATTTTATTAGAGGCCATTAAGAAGGAGAAAAATATGGGTAAATTATATTGCTGGTGCGTGTATTTCAGTTTAAATGTTGATCCTCGTGATGTATATATTCTAAATGTATTTATTAATAAACAATATTTTATTTGAAAATGTTTTTGATGATCTGTTCGTTTTCTGTTTAAAACACACCTGTAGATAACATTTTACAGTCCATTCCAACGATATTCTTAGAAAGTTTTCAAACTAATAATTTGGCCCTGTTGTATATTTACCCCAGCCTAAACAGTATACCCTAGGTTCATGGGTTACACAATTTTGGTAAAAAGTCTGGTAAATATTGAACATTTTTGAAAAGTACATGTATTTTCATGGTCTTTGCTTGCTGTTGGTGACAATAAAATGTATATGTTCGATTCCCCTTATTCAGTGGTTCTGAAGAAATCAAAAATGTAAAAAGTTTGCACGAAGGATGAAGAAGGATTGCAATAGCTGACATGAGCAATACTATAAATTAAATATGTGTATCGGTCATAATTACACTTGGGTGTCCATGACGACCTATATGGGCCTGTTATTTATGGGAATTATTGCTTTACCAAATCCTCTCTTGAGACCAGATCTGCTGAACTACAATGTTTGTAACATTTCATTTTTATTATAAATTTTTAATTCATATTCATTCTAAATTGTGCATGTCAATTCATACACAATACACATACTTAACAAAATTGAATAGTTTTTCTGCTATACAACTTATGTATCGTATCTCCGTTCTGTTGGTACTTCCCGTACATCCTTGTATCGTATCTGTTCCGTTGGTACTTCCTGTCCCTCCTTGTATTGTATCTGGTCTGTTGGTACTTCCTGTACAGCCTTGTATTGTATCTCTGTTCTGGTAGTACTTCCCATACATTCTTTTATCCTATCTCTGTTCTGTTTGTACTTCCCATACATCCTTGTATCGTCTCTCTGTTCTGTTGGCGCTTCCCGTACATCCTTGTATGGTATATGTTCTGTTGGTACTGCCCGTAAATCCTTGTATCGTATCTGTTCTATTGGTACTTCCTGTACAGCCTTGTATTGTATCTGTTCTGTTGGTACTTCCCGTACATCCTTGTATCGTATCTGTTCTGTTGGTACTTCCTGTACATCCTTGTATTGTATCTCTGTTCTGTTGGTACTTCCCATACATCCTTGTATCGTATCTCTGTTCTGTTGGTGCTTCCCGTACATCCTTGTATCGTATCTCTGTTCTGTTGGTGCTTCCCGTACATCCTTGTATTGTATCTGTTCTGTTGGTACTTCCCGTACATCCTTGTATTGTATCTGTTCTGTTGGTACTTCCTGTACATCCTTGTATTNATCTCTGTTCTGTTGGTGCTTCCCGTACATCCTTGTATCGTATCTCTGTTCTGTTGGTGCTTCCCGTACATCCTTGTATCGTATCTCTGTTCTGTTGGTGCTTCCCGTACATCCTTGTATCGTATCTCTGTTCTGTTGGTGCTTCCCGTACATCCTTGTATCGTATCTCTGTTCTGTTGGTGCTTCCCGTACATCCTTGTATCGTATCTCTGTTCTGTTGGTGCTTCCCGTACATCCTTGTATCGTATCTCTGTTCTGTTGGTGCTTCCCGTACATACTTGTATTGTATCTGTTCTGTTGGTACTTCCCATACATCCTTGTATTGTATCTCTGTTCTATTGGTGCTTCCCGTACATCGTTGGATCGTATCTCTGTTCTGTTGGTGCTTCCCGTACATCCTTGTATCGTCTCTCTGTTCTGTTGGTGCTTCCCGTACATCCTTGTATTGTATCTCTGTTCTGTTGGTGCTTCCCGTACATTCTTGTATTGTATCTGTTCTGTTGGTACTTCCCGTACATCCTTGTATCGTATCTCTGTTCTATTGGTGCTTCCCGTACATCGTTGGATCGTATCTCTGTTCTGTTGGTGCTTCCCGTACACCCTTGTATCATATCTGTTCTGTTGGTGCTTCCCATACATCCTTGTATTGGATCTCTGTTCTGTTGGTACTTCCCGTACATCCTTGTATTGTATCTCTGTTCTGTTGGTACTTCCCATACACCCTTGTATCATATCTCTGTTCTGTTGGTGCTTCCCGTACATCCTTGTATCGTATCTCTGTTCTGTTGGTACTTCCCGTACATCCTTGTATTGTATCTCTGTTCTATTGGTTCCCGTACATCCTTGTATTGTATCTCTGTTCTGTTGGTGCTTCCCATACATCCTTGTATTGTATCTCTGTTCTGTTGGTACTTCCCGTACATCCTTGTATCGTATCTCTGTTCTGTTGGTGCTTCCCATACACCCTTGTATCATATCTCTGTTCTGTTGGTGCTTCCCGTACATCCTTGTATTGTATCTCTGTTCTATTGGTGCTTCCCGTACTTCCTTGTATCGTATCTCCATTCTGTTGGTGCTTACCGTACATCCTTGTATCGTCTCTCTTTTCTGTTGGTGCTTCCCGTAGGTCCGTGTATCCTATCTCTGTTCTATTGGTGGTTACCGTACATCCTTGTATCGTCTCTGTTCTGTTGGTGCTTCCCGGACATCCTTGTATCGTATCTGTTGGCTGTTGGTGCTTCCCGTACATCCTTGCATCGTATCTCTGTTCTGTTCGTGCTTCCCTTACATCCTTGTATCGTATCTGTTCTGTTCGTGCTTCCCTTACATCCTTGTATCGTATCTGGTCTGTTGGTGCTTCCCGTACAGCCTTGTATTGTATCTCTGTTCTCTTGGTACTCACCGTACATCCTTGTATCGTCTCTGTTCTGTTGGTGCTTCCCGGACATCCTTGTATCGTATCTCTTCTGTTGGTGCGTGTCGTACATCCGTGTATTGTATCTCTGTTCTATTGGTGGTTACCGTACATCCTTGTATCGTCTCTGTTCTGTTGGTGCTCCCCGTACATCCTTGTATTGCATCTCTGTTCTATTGGTGCTTCCCGTACATCCTTGTATCGTATCTCCATTCTGTTGGTGCTTCCCGTACATCCTTCTGCAAACATGCTTCCAATGTGAAAGTAAAATGAGACAAAGTTACCGACATTTCTTTAAAATCTTCATTTCACCACCGTAACTCCTGGTTTTAATACAATGGTACACCTACTCATTGCATAGATGGTTCACTTTTTAACAATCAACTTTGAATAGTATTACCAGTTCAGCTGATTTTTCAATCAAAATTCAGGAAAATACACAAAACATACTTACAAATTACTGGTAAGGATTACAAATGACAAACAATTAGTGGTTATAGTAAAATATTTTCATTGTTGAGATTAAAAACAATATCATTTCCAGCACTAAAAAATGTATCTGGCAAAATCCTAATACACATTAAACAATACCTTTGTAAACTAGAACAGTGTAAGCTTCCTGTGGCCACGACACCTGACTTTTTGGAGTAGTCTGGAGTAGAGGTAAAAGGAAACTTACATTTGGTCTTACAATTATATATAAACATCTAGCACAGGACTGTAAGACAAGTCATATGACAGTATCACTAATAGCTCACAAAACTAAAATGAAATTTCAATTATAATTCATTTCTAATACGTATACTCAATGCCCTTTGCATTCTATACCAAATAATCATTATCTGACACAACTGGGTGAAAAAATGAAAACATTGTTATGATCCCCACTTTGTTGAAATCAAACAAAAAAATATGATTAAGCAAACAAACATTTAACTTGCTAAAACCTTGAAAACACTTACCAGGTAAGTATGTATACCATTGATAACCATGTCATTGAATCTGATCTAGAGTTTGAAGGTAATGACAAGTTTAGGGTCAAAAAATCAAGTTCAACAGGTTACTGATTTACATAACAGATAGTTTCAACATACGGCAAAAAATGTACATGTATATACAGTATAAAAGATAAATAGTTCTAAATGAGATTCTTTGATATGCAAGAATGATATTTGTACAGTATAGTTTAACAGCATACTGGTGTTTTCATGTGAATTTGATAAACGTAAAAAATGTGGATTGTTTTGTATATGGATTTCTCACAGGGTGAACCTCATCAATGAAGGTTTGTATCACAGAACTGAAATAAATTCACGTGCTCACTATTGTTTCAGTAATCTGAAAATAAAATATTGTGGTACTAGTTTTAGAAATAAAAAATATTTATATAATTATTGTTCCCTGGATAGTGTACAAAAAAATCTGTGTCCCATATATATATCTGAGTAAGTGTCCTGGCTATATGTCTAAAACAACTATTCACATCATAAAAGCTGTACACAACCATCGTTTATCTACCTCAAACAATTAATTAATCTTCCTCAAACAAATGATCAGTCATCTTTCTCAAACAAATAATCATTTCCTCAGACAAATCATCAGTAAAAAAACAAAATCTTGGACAGACAAAACTATGATGATCTTACTCCATGTTGACGAAGTAATATGGCCAATAGTGAAACAAAAGTTTTATAAACAGATTTAATCTAGTTTTACAATAATGTGTAAACATCATACACACTGGAGTGAGTATCCCACTTGTTCAACTGAACTAGTTAGAGCTGTACATGTTGGTACCATCATTCTTTGTATAATAATATGTTTGTAGGTAAAACAGGAGATTACCAAAATAAAACTTCTACACTGAATCACAACATATTTTTTTTGTATTTTCAAGCACAATAATAATACAATATGCTAAACATGGATTGTTATCTGTGATAAAGCAGGTTTTATAATGAAAATAAGTTTCTCAGCAGTGAAAATAACACTTTAATAATTATCAATACCAAATGAGTTTGCATGAAGAGGAGCTTATGTGAAAATACAAGAAATCGTTGATTCTGACATTACAATAAAAAGATGTGATATTTTGTACCTAATAAGGTACTGGATTTCTACAATATTAATGATGGAGCATTGGATGGAGAAATACTAGACACAGACTACCCTAGCAGCTTAGAGGCGATGGATGAAATGTTACCTTACACATTGTATATATTAAATTAATTTTCATGTGTATTTGTGAGGAGACTCATCAACAAATAACTACTATCAATATTGAACTAAAACGCTCAATTTCAAATTCATAAAATCTTGTACATCAATACAGGCATTGTTCACAGAAAACAAAAATATGTATTATCAATGCATGAATTCTTGTGTGCTTTTAAAATTTGTTTTTAATGGATTAATCAAGTCAAATTTGAATATCATGTATCAATGATAAATTTTATTTTACATGTTCCTTTAAAGTGGAATTCTCTTGGAAGGTAGGTTTGTTTCCCAGTAACTGTAAAGTAGCGTACATCTTAAGTGTGTCCCAGTAACTGTAAAGTAGCGTACATCTTAAGTGTGTCCCAGTAACTGTAAAGTAGCGTACATCTTAAGTGTGTCCCAGTAACTGTAAAGTAGCGTACATCTTAAGTGTGTCCCAGTAACTGTAAAGTAGCGTACATCTTAAGTGTGTCCCAGTAACTGTAAAGTAGCGTACATCTTAAGTGTGTCCCAGTAACTGTAAAGTAGCGTACATCTTAAGTGTGTCCCAGTAACTGTAAAGTAGCGTACATCTTAAGTGTGTCCCAGTAACTGTAAAGTAGCGTACATCTTAAGTGTGTCCCAGTAACTGTAAAGTAGCGTACATCTTAAGTGTGTCCCAGTAACTGTAAAGTAGCGTACATCTTAAGTGTGTCCCAGTAACTGTAAAGTAGCATACATCTTAAGTGTGTCCCAGTAACTGTAAAGTAGCGTACATCTTAAGTGTGTCCCAGTAACTGTAAAGTAGCGTACATCTTAAGTGTGTCCCAGTAACTGTAAAGTAGCATACATCTTAAGTGTGTCCCAGTAACTGTAAAGTAGCATACATCTTAAGTGTGTCCCAGTAACTGTAAAGTAGCGTACATCTTAAGTGTGTCCCAGTAACTGTAAAGTAGCGTACATCTTTTAAGTGTCAATACTGCTGTCACAATAAATCGTAAGTAATCACATCAATACATGTACGTACACAATTTGCAGTTAGTAGAGATTTTCTAGTCAGTGTGGACATTACAGTAATAAAACTATATCAAGTTGATCTGTCAAAGTATGTTACATTAAATTTTTTTAAAATACATGTAAAAAGACTATTTATTTTACCATAATAACTGAGATTCAGTAACTGCAATCAAGACAGAACATTTTTGACAAGTATTTGATAAATGATACAGCGTCAAAAATGACAATCTTCTGAAAAGTTGGATCATTTCTTCATAACATTACACAACTTCAGCTATGAGAGCTTTTCTTTATAAAATAATTCAATTATCAAAAAATAAAGTTTTCAAGATAATTGATGTCCAAACTTTTGGCAATGAGTCTGGTTGTCTCCGGATCAAATTTTGGCTGTTATTAAACACCTTCCAGTATGCCTTTTTTTTTCACAAATAGTCTGGTTGTCTCCTGACCTTATTTTGACCAACATATCAACTGGTTAATACTTCCTCTTCTTAAAAAATACATTTTTGTTTCCTATGGCACATGAAATGTAAAGATTCTGTTTTCTCTTACTGTCCTGTCTCCAACACTGATTCCTATAGGTATAAATAGACTGACAGGGTAAGAGAAAAAAAGCATTCCCCTCCTCAATTTTCACAACTAGATATGATCTTCCCCCTCCTGCTGATCTGGCTGTTCTGTTGTTCATGCAATCTTATAATGTACAGTTGTATGAAATAATCTCTTTAAATGATAAATAAAAATTAGTGTCATGTACTACAGGTAAACCAATACCATTCAGAATGATGGAAAACAGCCATACACCTCAAATTCACAACATTGATAATAAAATTGAGTGAGGAAGATAATTAATTAAATCACATGTCATTACCAATAACTAATTACACAGGAAAACAGAAGGAAGACCACAGAAGGAAGACCACAGAAAGCAGAGTGAAACGTGGAATGAAACTCCACTGGGTATACCACTGGTGACAGCTCAAAAGGAAGATTATTTCCCTGGGCTCGAGTTAGAAGGCCTCAGGTTTGTATTCTAGATCTGGCCATGTCATTTTTAACTCTTGGAACATTTGGTACCAAACTTTAAACCAAGCGACAGAAGACAGTCAGAAGTCTAATATGTCTGCAATGTCAAATCTTTGTACACGGGTGCATCCACTCCTTTCATATGCAGAATATCGCCTAATATTCGGGTGATGATAGCCCTTCATAGCAATCAGCAAACACAAAGGGAAACGGGGAAGATCAGTGGCAGTATAAAAGCAGATGAAAGACCTGGAGAAAACATTGTAGAGCAACCTTGCAGTAATCTGACATTTGAGTCTGCTGTCAGGAATAAAGTATAGTGAGCAAGTAACATCATAACGTCACACAAACCTAAACAAGATCATGTACAAGATCACAAAGAGTAGTGAGTTAGATGAGTATATATGATATTATCATAATATGTTATAAATCATTAACTGATACAGAAAATAAAGGAGTCATTGAGTACACAATGAAAGAGTCATTGAGTACACAATGAAGGAGTCATTGAGTACACAATGAAAGAGTCATTGAGTACATAATAAAGGAGACATTGAGGACACAATATAGGGGTCATTGAGTACATAATAAAGGAGACATTGAGTACACAATATAGGGGTCACTGAGTACACAATATAGGGGTCACTGAGTAAACAATATAGGGGTCATTGAGTACATAATAAAGGAGACATTGAGTACACAATAAAGGAGTCACTGAGTACACAATATAGGGGTCATTGAGTACACAATAAAGGATTCATTGAGTACATAATAAAGGAGTCATTGAGTACACAATATAGGGGTCACTGAGTACAAAATATAGGGGTCACTGAGTAAACAATATAAGGGTCATTGAGTACATAATAAAGGAGACATTGAGTACATAATAAAGGAGCCATTGAGTACACAATAAAGGAGTCATTGAGTACACAATATAGGGGTCATTGAGTACATAATAAAGGAGACATTGAGTACATAATAAAGGGGTCATTGAGTACATAATAAAGGAGTCATTGAGTACACAATGAAGGAGTCATTGAGTACACAATATAGGGGTCATTGAGTACGTAATAAAGGAGACATTGAGTACATAATAAAGGAGTCATTGAGTACATAATGAAGGGGTCATTGAGTACACAATATAGGGGTCATTTAGTACATAATAAAGGAGACATTGAGTACATAATAAAGGAGTCATTGAGTACATAATGAATGGGTCATTGAGTACACAATGAAGGAGTCATTGAGTACACAATATAGGGGTCATCGAGTACATAATAAAGGAGACATTGAGTACATAATAAAGGAGCCATTGAGTACACAATAAAGGGGTCATTGAGTACATAATAAAGGAGACATTGAGTACATAATAAAGGAGACATTGAGTACACAATGAAGGGGTCATTGAGTACACAATGAAGGAGTTTTTGAGTACATAATAAAGGAGTCATTGAGTACACAATGAAGGAGTCATTGAGTACACAATGAAGGAGTTTTTGAGTACATAATAAAGGAGTCATTGAGTACATAATGAATGGGTCATTGAGTACACAATATAGGGGTCATTGAGTACATAATAAAAGAGACATTGAGTACATAATAAAGGAGACATTGAGTACATAATAAAGGAGTCATTGAGTACATAATGAAGGGGTCATTGAGTACACAATGAAGGGGTCATTGAGTACACAATGAAGGAGTTTTTGAGTACATAATAAAGGAGTCATTGAGTACATAATAAAGGGGTCATTGAGTACACAATGAAGGAGTCATTGAGTCCATGCTGCTGTAATTAATACAGCTTAGCAATGTCCTTGTATACAGTGGAGTGTCTCTCGTCGGAACACTTCAAACTCCGGGACAAAAACGCTCCAAAAACCAAGGAAAGTAGGGATTGCACTAAATAATAAATATAACTCCTCCAGAAATAAGCGGGTCCAGATTATCAAAATTTCACAACATCAGTAACCCAATTTTGATTGTACAGTGTTGGTGAAAGTGAAGGTATGAAACTAGACTACCATGGGTTACTAACAATGCAGAGTCTATGATTAATGGGTTACTAACAATGCAGAGTCTATGATTAATGGGTTACTAACAATGCAGAGTCTATGATTAATGGGTTACTAACAATGCAGAGTCTATGATTAATGGGTTACTAACAATGCAGAGTCTATGATTAATGGGTTACTAACAATGCAGAGTCTATGATTAATGGGTTACTAACAATGCAGAGTCTATGATTAATGGGTTACTAACAATGCAGAGTCTATGATTAATGGGTTACTAACAATGCAGAGTCTATGATTAATGGGTTACTAACAATGCAGAGTCTATGATTAATGGGTTACTAACAATGCAGAGTCTATGATTAATGGGTTACTAACAATGCAGAGTCTATGATTTTCCAGACTGGCTGTGTTTCAAATCTTTCAACAATTGGTAAAATTTTGGTCTCATAATAGCTTGATCAATCATAAAAAAGATGTTGGCAGTAATTATAAGCTTTAAGAGAACCTGCAAATGAAATGTGTGGCATTATATTACAGACATTTTTTCTTGCACTTGTTCAAGAGATTATGATAAGTTTGGGGTGATCAAAAAATTAGAATAAGAGACAGATTAGTTGGGGTAATCAAATGGATTTGAGGTAGGGATTTTATTAGTTTTGGGATGATTTTTGAGTGTTTAAGAGATTTTAATGATATGGGGTGAGCAAAAGATTGTAATTGTAACATGCAAGAGGGCACCCATCTATCTTGCCAGTGAGGCAGTATTTTCCCCTATTAGTTCTTGGCTGTTACACTCTGAGAAGTCTCATCCACAAACTGGGTCTTGGTAATCCAGTAGGGCCTCCCTGTGTACCCATTCCCTAACTAACGGGAACTAGCCACTACTGACACCAAATGTAAAGTGCAGGCGAGCACCCATCCACACCCACTAACCATGCTCAATGTTGCTGAACTAGCGAGTGCCTCCCAGGGATATTTTATTGCTGGAAAAACTAGCTTGCCGTATGGCAGTATTTCCCCTCATATCCCTTGGCTGTTACATACAGTGTAATTACTGGAGGTGAACATATAGATTTGAGTTAGAAATCCTGATTACTTGGGGGAGATCATATGGATTTGAGTTAGAAATCCTGATTACTTGGGAGAGATCATATGGATTTGAGTTAGAAATCCTGATAACTTGGGGGAGATCATATGGATTTGAGTTAGAAATCCGGATTACTTGAAGCAATAAAATGGATTCACACTGTGAGATTCTGACTACTGTGGATTGAGTGTGAGATTCTGATTACTGTGGATTGAGTGTGCTATTTTGATTACTGTGGATTGAGTGTGCTATTCTCATTACTGTGGATTGAGTGTAAGATTCTGATTACTGTGGATTGAATGTGAGATTCTGACTACTGTGGATTGAGTGTGAGATTCTGATTACTGTGGATTGAGTGTGAGATTCTGACTACTGTGGATTGTGTGAGATTCTGATTACTGTGGATTGAGTGTGAGATTCTGATTACTGTGGATTGAATGTGAGATTCTGATTACTGTGGATTGAGTTTGAGATTCTGATTACTGTGGATTGAAACAGAGACTCTTTACTCATTAGAGCCATCAGTTGGACTTGGGTAAGAAAATATATATAATTGCATGTACATACTATAAAATACAGAAGCAGCATGACACACTTACAATGTACATTCCATCAAACACTTAATCAAATTAAGATGCTTAATTGTGAAAAAAATCAATACATGAATTGATGTATATAAAATAGAAAAATAAAATGCTTACGAATGAGATTCAAAAACATAGATTATCAGGGCAAAAACAAAATCACATTAAATTTGATTTGAAAACATTTTGTGAGGTTCGAAATATGTGAAACCCCATCACAGTAAAATAATTGGTGTAACACGTAGATTTATTAACCAATTTACTTGACGAAAGACCATAGTAACACAGTAAATATTTCGTATGGAAAAATCTGCACAAGTTAAGAAAAAATTGAAGCTAAAATATATCTTTAAACTGGGGCTAGAAACTACAGCTAATAATCTAGACAATTTCTTATAACTATTAATAAACATTGCACAAATTCCTACCCCATTCACTACATTCTGAAGTCCTACCCCATTCACTACAGTCTGAAGTCCTACCCAATTCACTACAGTCTGAAGTCCTAACCCATTCACTACTTTCTGAAGTCCTACCCCATTCACTACAGTCTGAAGTCCTACCCCATTCACTACAGTCTAAAGTCCTGACCCCATTCACTACAGTCTGAAACCTCCATCTAATTCTTTTGATAATCTTCATGACTAGAACATGTTCTAAGAGAGTTCAACTTGGTCAATTTCATTTGTCTTTGATGACCTCGTCTCTACTGCAATAATAACCTTCCTTTGTCTTCGATGACCTTCAGCTTACAGTCAGTGAGGACATGCGTACGTTTGGAACAGGTCTGTACCCTGACGACAGTTTGATTTCCGTTGTTAGCGACTTACAGCACCAAAGAGTTCCCAGTCGTACATTGACCATTGCCATCGGTGTTCTGAAAATAAAATAAAACCTTGTTCTATATTACAACGTACTTTGAATGTTTTTTCCATAATACATGTTTTACTTTCACAGGATCATTAATAACGTGGGTTCGATTTTGGTTTCCACCACTTGACACTAAAATGATATCACATGTACCAGGTCTCACTCTGTAAAAGTAATTAACTGTTCACATTCACTCTGATTTCACTGGCCTTTCTGAAATTTGAAGTAAAGAATAATTAAATATCTTTCAGAAAAGTATGAAGCTCTTAAAGAATGTCAGCGAATGAAGACCTTCTAATAACAGTTGATTGTGACTATACAAATGTATAAAAATAAACAGGTTTTATCATATTTTACAATATTTGACCCAATTATTATATCATCCAATCACCAAGCAAAAAAAAAGGAATTAAATACCCCACTACCAGCATATTTTTTCTCGATGAAACATGCATAATATAATTATATGACCATGTATGAATAAATCACAGCTGAGGTAAACTGTATTAATTGTACTTTGCAAAACTATCAATTGTGTTAAAGAATAAGATACTTATTTATCTGATGATTGGATGTAAATAACAATTTAATATGCTGGAGACATTTGGCATCTCCCTCTACAATTAATTCAGGCATAATATTGCAACATTTTAAAGTACGTATACTGGAATACATTCCTCAGTTTATTGCTGTATTTTTTTGTGCTTTAATAAAAGGAAATGAAACAGATTTTAAATGCACCTATATTTTTACAGATTTTTTTTTTTTTTTTTTACTGAATAAACCACAACAGCAGCACTGATTACTGCTATAAAAACACCCGTGCTGGTTGCTGGATAAAACATAAACTTCAAGCAAGAGGCTCAATGGGCCTTCATTTCAGCATGCTACTAGCTAAATACCACCACCCTAGGCCGCCCTTGGTCATTTAGTGAGTAATTATTTTATTACAATTGACACCTTTGACCTTGAACTTGGGTCAAGATAATTGAAAGTGGATCAAGATCATCCATTTGAAAAAACAACACGCTTTTTGCCATATATATCACGACACCAGACCACTTCCTTGTGGCCTTTGATCATGACAGTTGGTAAAGATTATTCATTTGAATGTAACAGAGGTCATTTTTAATGCCTCCGCTAGGAGGCAAACCCGGGACCTCTGGCTTACTTATCTAACGCTCTACCGAATGGGCTAAAGAGAAATTCTGCCTAGCCGAGTCGGTAGGAAGCGGCTAGTATTTTACCAGGGTGACATCCTCCCCCTCCAGGAAAGAACTCGTCCCGAGTTTTCCAGGGGTCATAGCGATTCTTGTGAAAGTATTGCTGAGTATATTTGTCAATATTACCCGAGTCCCTACCTGGGCTCCAATGTAACAGAGGTCATTGTTTTTCATTGCCTCCGCTAGGAGTCGAACCCAGGACTTCTGGCTTACTAACCTAACGCTCTACCGAATAAGCTAAAGAGAAATTCTCCCTACCGGAGTCGGTAGGAAGCGGCTAGTATTTTACCAGGGTTACATGAATATATTTGAATATGGACCATGGCATAAGCTTACTTGCCCTTATGGCAGGTGACCTAACAATCTGTTGACAGGTGTAGAGATTGTATTGTCTGTGCAGTAAATTAAATGAAACACAAGTAAAACGTAACTTCTGTGTCAACAAATACCACCACCCGTGATTGGAGACAGAAAGATCTTACCAGGAACAGGGACATTTCCCCACTACACAGCTGTTGGTAGATAGATATGTTAGTAAGTTATGATCAACTATCATCATTAACTACAGTCAAACTTTGTCATCTCAAACTCTTATAACTCTAAGACCTCGTTTAACTTTCTTTGGTCCGGCCAAAACTCTTCTTTACCGAAGTAATTACAACTCAGATAATTCAAACTCTGAAAACTTAAAAAACTCTGGATATCTGAAAGTAAAATATTGATTCCAACAGCAAAAATACTTCATCAAAGTATCGCTTTAATATCTGGAAGATTTGTTTTTAAATTTTCACCAATCAATCTTACAATCTTTACTGGTAATACATATACTACTCACATTTTGCTAAGGATCACTTTTATTTTTGGGCAAATGTGAAAATAAATATTTTATTTGGTTAATACTGAGATTATTTTTGGAAAATTGATTGTTCTTTTAATTCATCAGCATGCAAAAATTCCAAAAATCGTAATTAGTTGGAAAATGAGTCGCAGGAAAAGGGTTACCGGTACCCTTAAAACTGGTAGCAACGAGGTATTCCCTAAAAAACTTAAATTAAACAAAACTCATCCTAAATAATCAGAAACTGTTTTAGTATCGAGTGTGACGCCCTTGAGCATCAATTACAGCTTCGCAACGTCTGCACATGCCCCGAATGAGATCGCGTATCTGGTTTTGTGGGATAGCGTTCCACTCAGCTACCAAAACTGTTCCCAGCTCCTGGAGCGTTCTTGGCAGAACATTTCTGGCAGAGAGAGCTGTCTGCAGCATATCCCACACATGCTCGATGGGATTTAGATCCGGCGAGTGGGCTGGCCAATCCATTCGTTGAATAGTCTCTTGCTGTAGATACTGCTCAGTCACCTTTGCTCTATGTGGCCTAGCATTATCGTCCATAAGGATGAAGTCAGGGCCGATAGTGCCAGCGTAGGGTTTGACATAAGCACCAAGGATTTGATCGCAGTAAATCCAGGCCGTAACGGTACCATTATGGAAGACATGGAGGTCAGTTTTCCCACGAAGGCTTATGCTTCCCCACACCATCACTGAACCTCCGCCATATCAGTCATATTCCACAGCGTTACCTGCCTGGAACCTCTCCCCAGGTTGTCTCCATACTCTAACGGACGTCTGGAAGGGTTTCTGTAAGTTTGGAAACGATTCCACATTCTTGACACCCCACTTTGAGACACCCCAAGGTCTGCTGCAACCTGAGGTTGAGACATGCTAGCTTGCAGCATTTCGATGATTCATTTCACTGTCATTTAACCGTTGTCTGGTTCGTCTTTGTGTCATATTAAAACAAAAACACGCAAAGAATATTCATCAAATCAATTTCCTTAACAATTCGAACAAGGCCTTACTTGGCCTAGCTTAACTTTTGAACGGGTGTACCGTGGAAAAGCATGCACACGCTTTTATGGTTGACTAACACACCCTCACAGGATGTTCAAAACAGTACGGAAGGAAAATATAATATCCTCTCTAACATTTTGATTTTTTTTTTCAAAATATAGGTGATCCTTAGCAAAATGTGAGTATATATTAGACGATATGCCTGGGTGATTCGCCATTCAATGTTTCCAAACAACATTCTTATTGAACAGTTTACGTTAGTTCATAATAATTTTCAATCAAACTTATGACAGAAAATATATTTGTCCATGTTATGCTTCAATACAGTAATTTGTATAAAGACTTGCTCACTTTAATTTTCACATGAGAAGTTCAAGGTCGCAGACAGCAAGTCAGTTTTGACTGTTTATAGACATTAACTGTCTGAAAAATCAACAACTCAGATAGTCTCATATTTGACCAAACATGGAAACCTCGCTCTACTTGAATACTCGGATAACTCAAAGTTTTTCTACAATCCCTTTGACTTCGAGATAACAAGGTTCAACTGTACTTGTTTACAAACAAAGAGGATTTTACAGCAGATATTATGAATTTGTATGTTAATTGTACCCACTAATGTTTGTACTATGAAGTAGTATGAATATTAAATTTTACAAATGTTACATCACCTTAACTTTTCCAAAATTTGGATGACAAACTTTTATGCTGGGTTATTACAGTTATTATAGTTATTACAACCAAACTTGCTTGTCCAGATACTACAACTCAACCGACAACACAGACGGCTATGGCTCTACACATCGATCAAAACTAATCACATAGCTGTCTTAATTATAAACTGATTAAATCAGAAATGTACTACATGAATTATGTAACTCATAATTAAGTAGCAGTTATTTGTTGTTAGTACCTACCTCTTTGTAAGATCTGAAGATATCTGTTCAAGGGATCGGCCTTTTGTCTCCGGGACAAACAGAAATATGAATCCAGTAGAAAAAGCACAGATCAGACTGAATATGAAAAAGGTCAAGGACACTCCCAACTCATCTGAAGTTCAAGGACAAAATCAGTATGTACATAACATTCACACTTCATGTATACATCTTTTTATTTGACATGTTTAAGGATAGTGGCTCATAATTTTCAAAGTCTTGCATTTTTAATTAGTCTTAAGGTGCGCAGATGAAAACTAATAATTTCTGAAGCCAAGCAGATTCAAACATCAAAATAAATTTTACCAGGATAACACAGTTTTATTGCATGCAAAACTGATACATGTATTATGGAAGATAAATAGACAATTCAAACAGAGATATGTCTATTTATTTGTAAATTCAATTTAACATTCCCTTTCACCAGAGTACTCACCGATAACATTAAGAAATGTTGAGGAGACGACCAGATTGGTACCCCAGTTGAGCACTGTTGTCATGCCAATAGCTCGCCCCTTCACCGAGGCTGGGAAAATCTCACTCAGAACCAGCCATGTCACTGTGGCAAATAAAATCATCAGGTTAGAGGTCAACACACTTTTACAAGGTCAAGGGATTACAGATAGTGACTATATTAACATATAACGTGAATCAAGATGATATTTCTCTAAATCTGTTACAGTGCAACATTTGTTAGCCTAGCACGTTTTTTTTAAACTAGAAAATATTACTATAACATACATTTGACTAATTAGGTCCTCACTCCTGCATTGATAGCAATGGAGCTGAAGGCAGTCTTACCAAATTCATTGCAGCAGAAAGTATAGATCATATTGACCTACTTTTAATGAAGTTGCGTACCACTAAAGATGTATCTACATATGACGTTTACGGGTTGTACATGTTGGACTTCTAGCCGTAGAGTAATCAAAGCCTAAACAAGTTATTTTACAGACGCTCCCATGTAAAGTGGCCGAGGGGACATATATTCTATCCCTCACTCCAACACCCCCCTCCCCTGTACATACCAATGATGTGATAGTATTAGCCAATCATTAACGATTTATACCTGGTCCAAATCCTATAGCATAAGCTGCTACAAATGTCATCAGGGATATAAAAGCCACCACTCTCCCTGCCTTGTCCCCATGTACCAGAGGTGTGTCACCAGTAGAGTTAGACTGAGTAGCTAAGCCTGAGTTAGTCAGGTTAACCCCAGTGATGCTGTATGATTGATTGTACAGAAAAACTTGATGTATATGGTTTCCAGAGGAAGGCACACAGACCTCGGTCTCTGAGCATGTCTCTTTGCTAAGGGTATGGTTTTGGAGATGGGTTACTAAACCCAGACACAGAATGGCAACTCCCATCAGAATAGCACCGGTCAGGAGAAACTTCCTTCTACCCCACTTATCCACACATAGTAAGGCAATCACGGTCATCACAACCTGTAAACATCAATAAGGAAGTTAAATTGATAATATATTTTCTTCTTCATTTGCAATACTTGGAATTTTTATCAATAACAAAACTTTAATAATTTCCAAAGTAAAATGTTTTAAACAGTAATAAACAACTCTCAAATATTGCATGCTTTCCTGGTTCAGTTAATTCTTAAAGTTTACAGCAGTTATTTTTAAATATCATCCACATCTGTGAACTGCTTACCTTAACAGCTCCTAGTCCTACTGTTGCTAGGGTAGCAGCAGAATGTGACCCAAACCCTATTGCCTCAAAAATAGTCGGAGCATAATAGAGGACATTGGGCTGGCCTGTGAACTGCTGGAAGAAGACAAGCCCAGCCCCTATCAGCATCCGACCTCTCATATTGTCTACACTGCTGAACAAACTACAGCAGGTCTGGTTCTGTGGAGGTAAATACAATTGATCAATCTACTGCCATAGGCTGTCTAGGGAGGTAAATACAATGGATCAATCTACTGCCATGGGTTGTCTAGGGAGGTAAATACAATTGATCAATCTACTGCCAAGGGTTGTCCAGGGAGGTTAAAACAATTGATCAATCTACTGCCATGGGTTGTCCAGGGAGGTAAATACAATAGATCAATCTACTGCCATGGGTTGTCCAGGGAGGTTAATACAATTGATCAATCTACTGCCATGGGCTGTCTAGGGAGGTAAATACAATTGATCAATCTACTGTCATGGGCTGTCTAGGGAGGTAAATAGAATAGATCAATCTATTATCATGGGCTGTCTAGGGAGGTAAATAGAATAGATCAATATATTGCCATGGGCTGTCTAGGGAGGTAAATACAATAGATCAATCATCTGCCATGGGCTGTCTAGGGAGGTAAATACAATTGATCAATCTACTGTCATGGGCTGTCTAGGGAGGTAAATAGAATTGATCAATCTATTGTCATGGGCTGTCTAGGGAGGTAAATAGAATAGATCAATCTATTGTCATGAGCTGTCCAGGGAGGTAAATACAATTGATCAATCTACTGCCATGGGTTGTCCAGGGAGGTTAATACAATTGATCAATCTACTGCCATGGGTTGTCCAGGGAGGTAAATACAATTGATCAATCTATTGCCATGGGCTGTCCAGGGAGGTAAATACAATTGATCAATCTACTGCCATGGGCTGTACAGGGAGGTAAATAGAATAGATCAATCTACTGCCATGGGCTGTCTGGGGAGGTTAATACAATTGATCAATCTATTGCCATGGGTTGCCTAGGGAGGTAAATACAATAGATCAATCTACTGCCATGGGTTGTCTGGGGAGGTAAATACAATTGATCAATCTACTGCCATGGGTTGTCCAGGGAGGTAAATACAATTGATCAATCTACTGCCATGGGTTTTCCAGGGAGGTTAATACAATTGATCAATCTACTGCCATGGGCTGTCTAGGGAGGTAAATACAATTGATCAATCTACTGTCGTGGGCTGTCTAGGGAGGTAAATACAATGGATCAATCTACTGTCATGGGCTGTCTAGGGAGGTAAATACAATTGATCAATCTACTGCCATGGGTTGTCCAGGGAGGTAAATACAATTGATCAATCTGCTGCCATGGGCTGTCTAGGGAGATAAATAGAATTGATCAATCTATTGCCATGGGCTGTCCAGGAAGTTAAATACAATTGATCAATCTGCTGCCATGGGCTGTCTAGGGAGATAAATAGAATTGATCGATCTATTGCCATGGGCTGTCCAGGGAGGTAAATAGAATTGATCAATCTATTGCCATGGGCTGCCCAGGGAGGTAAATAGAATAGATCAATCTACTGTCATGGGCGGTCTAGGGAGGTAAATACAACGGATCAATCTATTGTCATGGGCTGTCTAGGGAGGTAAATACAATTGATCAATTTACTGCCATGGGCTGTCTAGGGAGGTCAATACAATTGATCAATCTATTGTCATGGGCTGTCTATGGAGGTAAATACAATTGATCAATCTACTACCATGGGCTGTCTAGGGAGGTAAATACAATTGATCAATCTACTGCCATGGGTTGTCCAGGGAGGAAAATACAATTGATCAATCTATTGCCATGGGCTGTCCAGGAAGTTAAATACAATTGATCAATCTACTGCCATGGGTTGTCCAGGGAGGAAAATACAATTGATCAATCTATTGCCATGGGCTGTCCAGGGAGGTAAATAGAATAGATCAATCTACTGTCATGGGCTGTCTAGGGAGGTAAATACAATGGATCAATCTATTGTCATGGGCTGTCTAGGGAGGTAAATACAATTGATCAATTTACTGCCATGGGCTGTCTAGGGAGGTAAATACAATTGATCAATCTATTGTCATGGGCTGTCTATGAAGGTAAATACAATTGATCAATCTACTACCATGGGTTGTCCAGGGAGGTAAATACAATTGATCAATCTATTGTCATGAGCTGTCCAGGGAGGTAAATAGAATTGATCAATCTATTGCCATGAGTTGTCCAGGGAGGTAAATAGAACTGATCAATCTATTGTCATCGGCTGTCTAGGGAGGTAAATGGAATAGATCAATCTATTGCCATGGGCTGTCCAGGGAGGTAAATACAATAGATCAATCTATTGCCACGGGCTGTCCAGGGAGGTAAATATAATGGATCCACTGTTATGGGTTGTCTTAGGAAGTAAACAGACTGGATCAAACTACTGCATAAAAAGATATGTTTGTATATTTGACAATCATTTTTCATTAAAAGACATGTATCTATATTTGACAACCATTTTGGAGGGTATTAAAAACATTTTTTTATGAATCATGAATTGATTTGTTACATACCATTTCTCCAGCAATGGATATTTTCATAGCATTCATTTCTTTCTCTACATCTTTGCCTCTCAGCTTCATCAACACCTCCTGGGACTAAACAACATCAAACATATTAATTAAATTTATTCTGGCCCCAAAATGTACAGAGGGAATCAAATATATATAAAACTGCAATGCTTAAATTCTTACATGTCGTACTAATTCTATTTAAACTAGTCATTTATCAATACTGTATGGCGTTTCAATTGGTTATCTGCCCCGTGTGACCTTCAACTCACCTTGGCTTCCTGTCGTTTCAACATGAGAAAGCGCGGACTCTTGGGAAGGAACATCATTCCAACACCTTGTATGACTGCTGGGATCGCAGACAGTCCGAACATGTACCGCCTTACAGAAAATAAACAAATATCAGCCAAAATAGCAATTCGGGGTCCACAGATAGTAGTCCGAATTATTCTGACGTTTTATCGACTTTTTTCATATCGGTCTGTCGTCGATTAACTTCAGAACTCCGGCCCTCTATAATATGCGGGAAATATGAGACCTGCGCCCAGAGCGCACTTCAAACTGATATTTTAGAAACAAATCGTCCTTTTCACACACATGTCGCACATGGATCGAAAGATCTATTCTTTATGCACTAGGTGGTATCAATAACATGTTTCAAAGATCATTACGAAAAGTATTTTCCAACGTTTTCTATACCAACCCATGTTTTTAATGGAAATTAGTCCATGAGCAATGTCACATGACTTGACGAGATCTCGCATTACCGAAAGTTTTTCCAAACGTTATGACGTAGGCTGGCGAGATTTTTTAGTCATGTGGCATTAGAAGGCGGGGCTATCAAAAAACTAGAGTAAAACAGAGTAAACTTGAAAAAATATGTTTTTAGTGATTGTATTGGTTGTTTGAGGCATGTTATGTATGTTCATCTTGTGCATGAAGAATAGATCTTTCGATCCATGTGCGACATGTGTGTGAAAGTGATGATTTGTTTCTAAAATATCAGTTTGAAGTGAACTCCGGGCGCGGGTCGCATATTTCCCGCATATTATAGAGAGCCGGAGTTCTGAAGTTATTCGACGACAGACTGATATGAAAGAAGTCGATAAAATGTCAGAAAAATTCGGACTACACAGATAGGTACCCCAAGGACATGATATAGTCTTGCATAAATAATGTAGGTCTCACTTGGATACCCTAAGGAATGTAGGGTGATTGATAGGAAATGGTAACATTAGGCTATAGATTTTTAACACAGTATGATATGGTAACATTAGGCTATAGATTTTTAACACAGTATGATATGAAAATTGCTTCAAATGTAGCAGTCCAGAGTATTTCATTGCATTTTACTTACTATGGAATCTATTGTCTTTTTTGTCAACAGCTGTGCCTCTTTAGCAACAATATAGGTAAGTTCACATCAGTATGTTTTTGGAAAGGATTGTCTAGATAAATTTAATTTACGTGAATGTCATTATATAATTGACAAAAACAATTTTATTTACAAGACTTGATCGTTTCAACTGTGCTTGTATTTTGTCATAGTATGTACATTTATATTTTGATTTCAATAAAAACAATGAAATTTTGTGTGATAATACACCTAAACAGGGTATAACTGTGCTGGAATGTTACAAAACCACATGTATATGTAACCAAGGTTATTATTCCAAGTGCCCTTCATTAGGAATTGAATCTGGGACTACAGATTACTTTAATCCAGCGCTCTGTTGGTAAAGCTAGAAGATACATTCTTCTAGTCAAGGGAGTAACAAGGTGGTTCTCCACAGGGTAAAACCAGCATGTACGTACACATGGCAGTAATGGACCTTTATACATACCAGCCATTGTCAACCTGTATAAAGAAATAGTTGACAAGGTAAGCCAGGAGAAGTCCTAGAGTACTTTATACATACCAGCCATTGTCAACCTGTATAAAGAAATAGTTGACAAGGTAAGCCAGGAGAAGTCCTAGAGTAATGCCCAGCTCGTTCAGGGACACTAGCACTCCACGCTTCTTCTGCAAACACAAATGGGATTGTGTCATCTTATATTTCATTGCTTGACAAATCTAAGCTTTCTTAGGAAAATATTTACAACAAGTTCAGCTTGTCTGTCAAGTCTGAGAAACTGTGCACAATCTTTAATTGATGTTCAGCAGTCAATGACTGTCATGCTCCTATTCTAATATGCCATTATTGATATAATTCACATACATATTCTAACATGTTTGATAAAATCAAGTTAACATGGGAAATCATCCAAACACTAAATGATTTTATATGGAGTCTTCCTTGATTAACTTGTGGAGAGTAAGAAACTTATCAAACAGTAACCCCATACCTGGTAATAAGCCAAGCCATATCAAATGCAGGGCAGTAGAAATGCTATATAGGTATATCATGTATTAGCAATGTTTATCATGTATAAGCAATGTTTATCATGTATTAGCAAAACTTATGTTTTTCCCTGCCATGAATCCTTTGTCATTAACCTTCCAGTTGACTTCTTAATTCTAGGTGAAAACTCTCATATTTTTGTATAGCTTAAATTTGGTTAACAACTATCACCCTGTTCTTGAAAAATGAAGTTGAGATTTTGGATTTGACAAACAGAGACCTGATACTTACAGCAGGGGCTATATCTGATATGTACACACATTCTCCTGTAGATACTTACAGCAGGGGCTATTTCTGATATGTACACACATTCTCCTGTAGATACTTACAGCAGGGGCTATATCTGATATGTACACACATTCTCCTGTAGATACTTACAGCAGGGGCTATATCTGATATGTACACACATTCTCCTGTAGATACTTACAGCAGGGGCTATATCTGATATGTACACACATTCTCCTGTAGATACTTACAGCAGGGGCTATATCTGATATGTACACACATTCTCCTGTAGATACTTACAGCAGGGGCTATATCTGATATGTACACACATTCTCCTGTAGATACTTACAGCAGGGGCTATATCTGATATGTACACACATTCTCCTGTAGATACTTACAGCAGGGGCTATATCTGATATGTACACACATTCTCCTGTAGATACTTACAGCAGGGGCTATATCTGATATGTACACACATTCTCCTGTAGATACTTACAGCAGGGGCTATATCTGATATGTACACACATTCTCCTGTAGATACTTACAGCAGGGGCTATATCTGATATGTACACACATTCTCCTGTAGATACTTACAGCAGGGGCTATATCTGATATGTACACACATTCTCCTGTAGATACTTACAGCAGGGGCTATATCTGATATGTACACACATTCTCCTGTAGATACTTACAGCAGGGGCTATATCTGATATGTACACACATTCTCCTGTAGATACTTACAGCAGGGGCTATATCTGATATGTACACACATTCTCCTGTAGATACTTACAGCAGGGGCTATATCTGATATGTACACACATTCTCCTGTAGATACTTACAGCAGGGGCTATATCTGATATGTACACACATTCTCCTGTAGATACTTACAGCAGGGGCTATTTCTGATATGTACACACATTCTCCTGTAGATACTTACAGCAGGGGCTATTTCTGATATGTACACACATTCTCCTGTAGATACTTACAGCAGGGGCTATTTCTGATATGTACACACATTCTCCTGTAGATACTTACAGCAGGGGCTATTTCTGATATGTACACACATTCTCCTGTAGATACTTACAGCAGGGGCTATTTCTGATATGTACACACATTCTCCTGTAGATACTTACAGCAGGGGCTATTTCTGATATGTACACACATTCTCCTGTAGATACTTACAGCAGGGGCTATTTCTGATATGTACACACATTCTCCTGTAGATACTTACAGCAGGGGCTATTTCTGATATGTACACACATTCTCCTGTAGATACTTACAGCAGGGGCTATTTCTGATATGTACACACATTCTCCTGTAGATACTTACAGCAGGGGCTATTTCTGATATGTACACACATTCTCCTGTAGATACTTACAGCAGGGGCTATTTCTGATATGTACACACATTCTCCTGTAGATACTTACAGCAGGGGCTATTTCTGATATGTACACACATTCTCCTGTAGATACTTACAGCAGGGGCTATTTCTGATATGTACACACATTCTCCTGTAGATACTTACAGCAGGGGCTATTTCTGATATGTACACACATTCTCCTGTAGATACTTACAGCAGGGGCTATTTCTGATATGTACACACATTCTCCTGTAGATACTTACAGCAGGGGCTATTTCTGATATGTACACACATTCTCCTGTAGATACTTACAGCAGGGGCTATTTCTGATATGTACACACATTCTCCTGTAGATACTTACAGCAGGGGCTATTTCTGATATGTACACACATTCTCCTGTAGCGGACACCGCTACGGCTATACCAATGACTAGGCGGCCAAATAACTGCAAAGGATAAAACAAAGTTCCAAAGTGAAGTACAAAAATTCTTAAATAAATTGCTCTCTTTTCTCAAAATCAGACGTATGGGCTTTGTTCCACAAACGTTAATTGAAACAGTAAAACATTCATGAATTTACGTTGAAGAATCAACTCTTGACTGAAAACAGTGAGTGAATCACTAATCTGAATGTCATCACTTTTTTGTGACACATCATGATCATTGGTACACTAACATCACAGTTGTAATAGGTATCACAAACCTATTACACTAGGCAATAGGAACGTCACTGTGGCAGTACTTACTATAAGGGGATAACTGGTGGAGAGGGCCAGAATAAATGCCCCCACCAGGAACACTACAGCATTGAGAATGATGGTCAGTCTGCGTCCATACTTGTCTATCACAAAACCTGCAGGTAAGATTTACCATGGGATAATTACTTCACATCATTATAAATAAATATACATACCAGCAGGTAACACATTTACAACAAATAGGACTCTAATGTGGATTACCAATGGACCTCATGCATACATACTGACAGAAAAAGTAAAACCAATAAATATCATATTTTGCATCATCATATCAACAAACTTATATTAGATTGGACAAGACATACATGTCACAGGATCATAGCATCAACAAAACAGACCCTTTTACACACTTGCCAATGTTCCTATTTCAGATTGAATCTCCAAAACATTAACGCCCTCAGTTCAATTCTGATATCAACAAAATTGTGTATCTTTCTTTTGCTCATGCATATTCAATTAATTTGTTATACGGGACAGCAGCCATTTACACCATTATCTTGTAAAACAGAGGTCACTGTAAGTACTTTTTAGATATACATGTACTTAAATTTTGCCACACATGAAAATTGTGAAAAGTTTGGCAATTAAGCAATTCTTATGTTGTGAAATTGGTTAAAAATTACCTCAAATATAATCAACTTCACAATCAACACAGTGTCACAATTTCTAAATCAATGTCAATATTAGTTTTAAATTGTCAATGTTTAGTGACAAGATCTACATCAAATTTGGATAAATTTAAGTTATACTTCCTCTGCAAAAGGCAATAATTGTATACGATTCTTTTGCTTCAAACTTGATATAATTCAAAAGTTTGACTGCCCTGAGAATTGTAATCTAACGTCCAAATAAGGATCCTATCATGGCCCCTACTAGTGTGTCTGTCCTGAGAATTGTAATCTTACCTCCAAATAAGGATCCTATGATGGCCCCTACTAGTGTGACTGTCCTGAGAATTGTAATCTGACCTCCAAATAAGGATCCTATCATGGCCCCTACTAGTGTGTCTGCCCTGAGAATTGTAATATTACCTCCAAATAAGGATCCTATAATGGCCCCTACTAGTGTGTCTGCCCTGAGAATTGTAATATTACCTCCAAATAAGGATCCTATAATGGCCCCTACTAGTGTGTCTGCCCTCAGAATTATAATCTTACCTCCAAATAAGGATCCTATCATGGCTCCTACTAGTGTGTCTGCCCTGAGAATTGTAATCATACCTCCAAATAAGGATCCTATCATGGCCCCTACTCGTGTGTCTGCCCTGAGAATTGTAATCTTACCCCCAAATAAGGATCCTATCATGGCCCCTACTAGTGTGTCTGCCCTGAGAATTGTAATATTACCTCCAAATAAGGATCCTATAATGGCCCCTACTAGTGTGTCTGCCCTGAGAATTGTAATCATACCTCCAAATAAGGATCCTATCATGGCCCCTACTAGTGTTACTGCCCTGAGAATTGTAATCTTACCTCAAAATAAGGATCCTATCATGGCCCCTACTAGTGTTACTGCCCTGAGAATTGTAATCTTACCTCAAAATAAGGATCCTACCATGGCCCCTACTAGTGTGTCTGCCCTGAGAATAGTAATCTTACCTCCAAATAAGGATCCTATCATGACCCCTACTATAGTGTGACTGCCCTGAGAATTGTAATCTTACCTCAAAATAAGGATCCTATCATGGCCCCTACTAGTGTGTCTGTCCTGAGAATTGTAATCTTCCCTCCAAATAAGGATCCTATCATGGCCCCTACTAGGGTGTCTGTCCTGAGAATTGTAATCTTACCTCCAAATAAGGATCCTATCATGGTCCCTACTAGTGTGTCTGCCCTGAGAATTGTAATCTTCCCTCCAAATAAGGATCCTATCATGGCCCCTACTAGTGTTACTGCCCTGAGAATTGTAATCTTACCTCAAAATAAGGATCCTATCATGGCCCCTACTATAGTGTGACTGCCCTGAGAATTGTAATCTTACCTCAAAATAAGGATCCTATCATGGCCCCTACTAGTGTTACTGCCCTGAGAATTGTAATCTTACCTCAAAATAAGGATCCTATCATGGCCCCTACTAGTGTGTCTGTCCTGAGAATTGTAATCTTACCTCCAAATAAGGATCCTATCATGACCCCTACTATAGTGTGACTGCCCTGAGAATTGTAATCTTACCTCAAAATAAGGATCCTATCATGGCCCCTACTAGTGTTACTGCCCTGAGAATTGTAATCTTACCTCAAAATAAGGATCCTACCATGGCCCCTACTAGTGTGTCTGCCCTGAGAATTGAAATCTTACCTCCAAATAAGGATCCTATCATGGCCCCTACTCGTGTGTCTGCCCTGAGAATTGTAATCTTACCTCCAAATAAGGAACCTATCATGGCCCCTACTAGCATGATGCTAATTACTAGCTCCCTCTGGAAACAGGACAGACAGAACTGGTCCTGTAGTTGTAGGACTGCCCCCGATATTATACCTGCAACCAAGCCAATGGAAAACAATATAAATATAGGACCATACAAACCAAGCTCCAGGATCAAAGGAAGTGAATATTTGTAAATTATTATATCAACTAGAAATTTGTTTTTATGAACAAAAACATATGTCTCCCCTTATTAACCAATATGCGTATTTGGAAGAATAGAAAGGTCACAACAACATTAAGGTGTGTAAATCCTAAACCATTACACTTTTAAATTATTCTGATTCATGTAAAATTGTTTTAACAAGTTTCGTCAGATTGTAATCTGGTTCCTCTATTGGCTTATTATTTCTATAAACTTTAACTACAATATTTGACCTTGAAATTGACCCAGTGACCTTGACCTTAAGTCAGTTGACTCCTTGTTAAATTCCAACCAACTTTGCTTCATAATGTCATAACAAAATGTTCATCAGTGAAAAGATACAAAATTTGACCTTGATCTTTGACCAAGTGACCTTGACCTTTGGTCAATTGACTCCTTGTTTAACTCTGACCAACATTGCTTCAAAGTATCAAAACGAAATGTTCACCAGTGAAAAGATACAAAATTTAACCTTCACCTTTGACCCAGTGACATTGACCTTTGGTCAACTGACTCCTTGTTTAATTCCGACCAACTTTGCTTCACCCAGTGAAAAGATACTGAATTTGACCTTAACCTTTGACCTAGTGACCTTGACCTTAAGTCAGTTGACTCTTTGTTAAATTCCAACCAACTTTGCTTCATAATGTCATAACAAAATGTTCATCCGGGAAAAGATACAAAATTTGATCTTTACCTTTGACCCAGTGACCTTAACCTTTGGTCAGTTGATACCTTGTTTGATTGTGACGGACGGACGGACGGATGAACTAGTATAGCGCACCCGCATCTTTGATGCGGGGCCCTAATAACATGAAAAGTTATGCAGTGGACAAACTTCGGTAGTAAAATTAAACAAAGGACCATAAGTCTGTATGAAGTGTCGCACGAGACCTAATTCCAGTGCACCGCACACCTTCTGTGAGTGATGCAGGTATACTTGAAGTTTGATTAAGATATCTTTAATGGTTTAGAAGTTATGCCGTAGACAAACTTCGGTATTAACAAGAGGCCCAAGGGCCTTAGCGGTCACCTGAGTTATATCATAGGTACTGGTAGCTTTATTTTATTGTTTCGATGTGATGTGGAAATCAGCATGTAAACTAAGTGAAATACAATACTTGTCATGTCATCAAAGGATAAGAATTTTAAAATATTTGTAAATGTTCCCTTTGGGTCCCCACTCTAACCCCTGGGGATGGGGTAGGAATTCAAAGTTTACAATGTGATACCGTCATCCACCAAAGATGATTCTGACCTAGTAAAAATAATTTCCAACAGAAAATTGTCAAAATATACCCAAAAGTGTTGTTTCCCAATATAAACTATAGTAAACTTTACCCCCTCCCCAAGGGAAAATGGATAGCTCGGGGGTCCTGAAAATTACCATTTAAATAAAGCCCCTGATGATCTCTCCATCCATGCAGAGAAAATGACTGTAGTATAGGACTCTGAGTCTGGGTAAAAAGATTTTTGAAAAATTGGTTAATTTCCCTTTTGGGGCCCCGCCCTGGCCCCTAGGGTTGGGGTAGGAATCCCAATTTTACAATTTAAAACCATCTTCCTTCAAGGATAATTCTCACCAAGTAAGAATAATTTCCAACAGAAAATTGTCAAAATATACCCAAAAGTGTTGTTTCCCTATATAAACTATAGTAAACTTTACCCCCTCCCCAAGGGAGAACGGATAGCTCGGGGGTCCTGAAATTTACAATTTAAATAAAGCCCCTGATGATCTTTCCATCCATGCAGAGAAAATGACTGTAATACCTCTGAGTCTGGAGAAGAAGATTTTTGAAATATTGGTTAATTTTCCCTTTTGGGCCCCGCCCTGGCCCCTAGGGTTGGGGTAGGAATCCCAATTTTACAATTTGGTAGCCTCATCTACCAAGGATGATTCTGACCCAGTTTGAAAAAATTACATCCCCTGGGTCTTGAGAAGTTGATAATGTAAAAAGTTTACGCACGACGGACGACGGACGACAACGGACGGAAAGTGATTGGAATAGGTCACTTGAGCAAAGCTCAGGTGAGCTAAAAATAAACAAAGGGCCATAACTCTGTATATAGTGGGACATAAAATCTTATTTTAGTGTGAGAAATTCCGCCTTCCCAAGATACATAAATATGGTAAGTATGGTCAATGTAGGTGAAATAACATAGAACTTATGCTCTGGACAAACTTCGGTATTAAAATTAAACAAAGGGCCATAACATTGTATATAGTGGGGCATGAGACCTAGTTCCAGTGCACTGCACACCTTCTGTGGGTGATGCAGGTATACTTCAAGTTTGATTAAGATATCTTTAACGGTTTGAAATTTACGGGCCGGACATGAATTTACTGAAAATGTGCACTTATTTGACCTATGACCTTGAGCTGAAGGTCACAGTGACCTAATTCCAGTGCACTGCACACCTCCTGTGGGTGATGCATATGCATACCTAAAGTTAAAGTCAGATTAGAAGAACCAGAAGACGAAGAAGTAGAAGAAGAATTCGAAGGGGAGACATAATAACACTTCATATCTTATTTTCAATTACAACTCATGTCTGATTAATCAACTTATGTATACAATCATTTTTTTTTTAAATTTCCTTCATTCTGTTTTGAATGAATGGCACAATGTTTGTTTTCTTCCTCCAATATTATAACAAACATATAAGGCAATGCATACAATAGCCAACCCCTCCCCAGCCCTATTTTATCAGATTTAGATGACGATTTAATCCCTTCTCACTTATAAGGATTTTGGTCCATGTCCTTACCACAGGTAGAGTATATATCACGTACAATATATAAATAACAAAAAGGTTAAATGCCATTAAAATCAAGTGTGATCTTACCAATGTCGTATCCAAAGAGGATACCACCAAGGGATGCCATGACAGCTGCCAGGCCGAGGTAGCAGTTGGGAGAGACTTCGGAGGGTCGTTGATGATGGGTCGGACTAACCACAGGACTGGTGTCAAGGTGTCGGTCCTCCAGCTGCACCTGGATGACTTGTAAAGGATCCTGATCCAGATCTGAGTCGAGTGACCCATGGAGAGAGGTATAATTCTTCAGTAGAATCTCTATCATAAAATAATACAATAAAATTAGCTCAAATTTATTCGCTGCTATTGGCAGCTTGAAATTTTCTTTTAGACATTATTTCAATCTGATACATTTTCCAAGTGCCCTTCTGTTGCAAGTACATGTACACAAAAATAAATGGAAATTGACACCGTTCTACATGACAGGGTCCCTGTTAAAATAGTCAAACTGCAACCTTAAGCATGGCTCGGTCACTGATAGAATAGCAAAACTGCCCCCCCCCCCCCCCCCCCCCCCCCTCCTACCTATTTTGAGTTCACTGTCCATCTCCTTTGTGATGCATTCTATGGTCCGTATGGCAACTTAAACACTACTGATACCTTTGTATATATATAACTGAGGGACTAGTAAACATACATCTAATTAGAGTAAAGCTCCCAATCGTGAGCTGATCATGAATTGGCCATTGGTCATAGAATCACTCGGTAATGGGCAAATGATCAACACTAACTCTATAACCATCCTGCTTCCTGTTTGTAAAAGAAAAATCAATGGTTTTTATCAATGACTCAAACTATCGTTTTATGTTACATGTTTCATATACAACTGTTATGTAGAGGCTAACAAATCTCTTCCATAACACCCCTATACCCTAACATTCACGTCCAATATATATATAATAACACCCATTATTCTCCTATTTCTTTCTCATGTTTGAAGAAGATTTTCAAAGGGGTATTTATTTGACGTCAATTATAACTGCATGGAATTCAATGTAACAAGTTTAATATGAAGTAAAATGTGCGTTCATGTATACACAAGACAGATAAATCAATTTTGGTTTGAAACAAAATGACAGCAACACATATTGAAAAGTTTCATTAAAATCTATGACAATCTATTAAAATCATGGACCATAACTCTTTAGATACCCAGGAGAACAACATGGAACTCACACATAAACAGGTTTATAGGACGGATTGGATGTCATATGTCACTGCATAAACTCAAAGACAGCCCATATATCTGAGGTTAGCTCAAAGACAGCCCATATCTGAGGTTAGCTCACAGACAGCCCATATCTGAGATTAGCACAAAGCTGACAGATCATAATGTCACATTTCTTATTACAGGACAGCATGTCACAGCATCAATGTTTAGTCAAAGTACATTTACATAGAAATATATCTATACCTTTAAGGCTGACTATATCTATACCCCTCAGGCTGACTATATCTATACCCTTCAGGCTGATAATATCTATATACCCCTCAGGCTGACTATATCTATACCCTTTAGGCTGCCTATCTCAATACCCTTTAGGCTGACTATATCTTTACCTCTCAGGCTGACTATATCTATACCCTTCAGGCTGATTATATCTATATACCCCCCAGGCTGACTATATCTATACCCCTCAGGCTGATTATATCTATATACCCCTCAGGCTGACTATATATATACCCTTCAGGCTGATAATTTATATATCTATACCCTTCAGGCTGATTATATCTATACCCTTCAGGCTGATTATATCTATATACCCCTCAGGCTGTCTATATATATACCCTTCAGCCTGATATATATCTATACCCTTCAGGCGGACTATATCTATACCCTTCGGGCTGACTATATCTATACCCTTTAGGCTGCCTATCTCTATACCCTTTAGGCTGACTATATCTTTACCTCTCAGGCTTACTATATCTATACCCTTCAGGCTGACTATATCTATACCCTTCAGACTGACTTTGTCTATACCCTTCAGGCTGATTATATCTATACCCCTCAGGCTGACTATATATATACCCCTTCAGGCTGACTATATCTATACCATTCAGGCTGACCATATCTATACCCTTCAGGCTGACCCTTCAGGTTGACTATATCTATACCCTTCAGGCTGACTTTATCTATACTCTTCAGGCTGACTATATCTATACCATTCAGGCTGACTATATCTATACTCTTCAGGCTGACTATATCTATACCCTTCAGACTGACTTTGTCTATACCCTTCAGGCTGATTATATCTATACCCCTCAGGCTGACTATATATATACCCTTCAGGCTGATATATATCTATACCCTTCAGGCTGACTATATATATACCCTTCAGGCTGATATATATCTATACCCTTCAGGCTGACTATATCTATACTCTTCAGGCTGACTATATCTATACCCTTCAGGCTGAGTTTATCTATACCCTTCAGGCTGACCCTTCAGGCTGACTATATCTATACTCTTCAGGCGGACCCTTCAGGCTGACTATATCTATACCATTCAGGCTGTATACTCATTTTTGCTTTCATATTCATCTACACACTAAACTCTTGTTAATGCTAGTAAACAGGTGTGTTGTATGAATGATGTTACTTAAACCAAACATCAAATTCTTAGACTAAGAAGGACAAGCTTCCATGTTTCTCACTGTGACAACACTTAGAATATGTTGATTCTGACATTGACTTAAAGCCTGGATTGACAAACCAAGAGAATCAAGGATTTTTGAAGGATTTTTTTCAGGCCAGTCCCAAATATCATTTTCCAATTACTAAGAGATATTGTGGGTTCTCAAAAAGTGGGCAAGCTATATGTAGGGAAAGCATGGTTCCAGGAGTCCAATATTAGTGAATGTTCTAAGCTATTGTAACAGCCAAGAAATTAGACGGGAAAATACTGCCTTACAGGCAAACTAGATTTCCAGTGATGTATAAAACTCTGAGAGGCGATCCCGAGCATGGTCAGGGACTGGATGGGTGCCTGCTAAAACGTTACTTTTTGTAGCAGTGTTGTGACCTTGTGGCATCGTGTAAGGCCAGTTACCAGTGGTTAGAGAAGATGTATTGGTACATAGGGAGGACCCACAGGATTCCTCAGAGCATGTCATGGAACAAGACATCTTGAAGGGGGGAATATATATAACTAGTGTAAATTGCTAGCGTTTCCAGCGATGCGGTGAAAGCCCTCAGCAGTACTAGTAGCAACGTTGAGACCGTGGTCGGTGGTTGGATGGTTCTAGAAACCCTTGTTTATTGGGCAGGTATTTATACACATATAAGCTCCAGCCTACTTGCTGCCATCTGTGATGTCAGATAAAGATGGTTGCAATTGCAATTTTATTTTTACTGGCACAAAATATTACAGAATATCATATTTTATTATTTCATATATATACATTTTTGTATCTTACAAATTAATATATACCTTTATTATCCTGAAGGTAAGTTTCCTTGTTTGAGTCACCCGTGTTGATTAGAGGGATATCATACTTTTCACCGTACACCCCAAATGTACCACTCAACAAATTCCCCATTGTAAAATCAAAGTGTAGAGAAGTACCTCCCTTGTAGCTACTAGCTAGTAAGAACAAACTTGTTGTATATCTTTACATCCATTCCCTGGTCAAGGAAAAACAGCTTATACAAAACAAGCCTGTCCGATATAAACCAGAACAGCTTCTAGTTAATGCTCAGATTGCACAGGTAATATATCGAAAACAGGTATCACACCAACTGTACAGGTAATAGATTGAACAGGTATCACACCAACTGTACAGGTAATAGATTGAACAAGTATCACACCAACTGTACAGGTAATAGATTGAACAGGTATCACGCCAACTGTACAGGTAATAGATTGAACAGGTATCACACCAACTGTACAGGTAATAGATAGAACAGGTATCACACCAACTGTAAGGTAATAGATAGAACAGGTATCACACCAACTGTACAGGTAATAGATTGAACAGATATCGCACCAACTGTACAGGTAACACTCCAATTGTACAGGTAACACTCCAATTGTACAGATAACAGTCAGGTAACACTCCAATTGTACAGGTAACACTCCAAGTGTACATGTAACAGTCAGGTAACACTTCACTTCAACAGGTTACACTCCAATTGTACAGGAAATACTCCAATTGTACAGGTAACAGTCAGGTAACACTCCAATTGAACAGGTAACACTCCAATTGTACGGGTAACAGTCAGGTAACACTTCACTTGAAAAGGTAACACTCCAATTGTACAGGTAACAGTCAGGTAACACTCCAATTGAACAGGTAACACTCCAATTGTACAGCTAACACTCCAATTGTACAGGTAACACTTCACTTGTACAGGTAACACTCCAATTGTACAGATAACAGTCAGGTAACCCTCCAATTGTACAGGTAACACTCCAAGTGTACATGTAACAGTCAGGTAACACTTCACTTCAACAGGGTACACTCCAATTGTACAGGGAATACTCCAATTGTACAGGTAACAGTCAGGTAACACTCCAATTGAACAGGTAACACTCCAATTGTACGGGTAACAGTCAGGTAACACTTCACTTGAACAGGTAACACTCCAATTGTACAGGTAACACTCCAAATGTACAGGTAACAGTCAGGTAACACTTCAATTGAACAGGTAACACTCCAATTGTACAGGTAACAGTCAGGTAACACTTCACTTGAACAGGTAACACTCCAATTGTACAGGTAACACTTCACTTGTACAGGTAACACTCCAATTGTACAGGTTACACTCCAATTGTACAGGTAACACTCCAAGTATACAGGTAACAGTCAGGTTACACTCCACTTGTACAGGTAACACTCCAATTGTACAGATAACACTCCAATTGTACAGATAACACTCCAAGTGTACTGGTAACAGTCAGGTAACACTTCCCTTGAACAGGTAACACTCCAATTGTACAGGTAACACTCCAATTGTACAGGTAACAGTCAGATTATACAGGTACACTGAGTACACAGGTATGAACATTAGGTATACACTGTCCAGTCAAACAGAAACTATACCAGATCTTCCCCACAGTTGTCATCATATATAACAATAAAAACACAAACAATACTGTACTCCCTGGGCCAATATATCAGCTGTTTTGAATGCTAGTTTTTAAACCAATGGTAACAATTCCTGAAGTTTTTGTATTGTTTTTTGTATCATGCAATCTTACCATCAGTAAAAAACACTCTTATAAAATGTCAGAATTGTCACCAACAAAACGACCATGTGCACTGAATGAAATGCCATACATATCAAAAGTACTGAACCTTTTTCACATTTATACAATCTTTCGTATACCTCAAATAACAGTGTTATATCAAATGTGTAACAGATGTCATACAAACACACATATATACAAATATAAATACATGTATCATGGTATATATATGCAGATTAAAAAGAATTATTTTGATACGATTCCTGTTGTTGTAACAATTTAAGGGAGACTAATCCCATCGGGGAAATGTGGAACAAATAATTAATTGGGTAACATTTCACTAATGGACAACGTGTTACAGAAACAAGAGGCCCATTCTGTAGGGCTATTCATTATCACTAAGTACTTTAAATTAGAGAACACTATATTCATGAAATTCTCTTTCGTGATGCAGTATTAAAGTATTCACAGGGCGATGTCTGTAGCATGACCATGTATATGTATGTATTCATGACCTAGGATAGCGGCCTATGTATATTGAGAACAAGCGACAAGTTATATAATACTAATGCATATGTATGATAGTAGGGGGCTAGAGGGATTCCATTATGTTTAGTACAATAAATATTGTATTTTGTTATTTTTTTCTTTGCACACTTATTGGAATTTGTCACCTCCACAATTTATTTTGATATTCTTTAAATAAAGTCTCTACATATATGTCATGTTAATACCACATCATTCACAGACCACATTGAATTCAACTGATGTAACCCTGGGTTTTAATCAGAAGGTGCCGAGTCCTTCTGAGAGTTTAAATTCTTGCCTCTGCCCTGGTGCATTTTTTTTATCTGATAATTAATACATGTTATAAGACAGTGGTGTGGTTAATTTCTGAACAATAGTAGACAACGATGAGCATTTGATATCTTGAATAACTATAAGTAGGAAACCTGTTGCCTTTACTGATAAACTACACATCGCCCACTGTAAATGTCGTCCTTGACATTTAATTGATATTACAACATTTCTTATCAATATTTGCTGCATTTTTTTTTTTTTTTTTTCTACGGATAACAAAAAACTTAAGTTTAAATATACAATGTATACCAAACCATTCCCAATATACAGTACTATGAAAGAGGTCCACAGCCTAACTTGGTGGTTAGATCCTTTCTACTACAGACTCAGTAACACCTAACTTGTAGGTTTGATCCTCAGTGGAGATAATTAGGAATCCTCACCACAACCCTTTCTACTACAGACTCAGTAACACCTAACTTGGTGGTTTGATCCTCAGTGGAGATATGAATCCTCACCACAACCCTTTCTACTACAGACTCAGTAACACCTAACTTGGTGATTAGACCCTCAGTGGAGATATGAATCTTCACCACAACCATTTCTACTACAGACTCAATAACACCTAACTTGGTGGTTAGACCCTCAGTGGAGATATGAATCCTCACCACAACCATTTCTACTACGGACTCAGTAACACCTAACTTGGTGATTAGACCCTCAGTGGAGATATGAATCCTCACCACAACCATTTCTACTACAGACTCAGTAACACCTAACTTGGTGATTAGACCCTCAGTGGAGATATGAATCCTCACCACAACCCTTTGTACTACAGACTCAGTAACACCTAACTTGGTGGTTAGATCCTCGGTGGATATATGAATCTTTAGCACAACCCTTTCTATTACAGACTCAGTAACACTATTGATTGATTGCTAATACTACAAGTGAATACAACATCTGAACATGTCGTCCCGTATTCACCAAAGATCTGTTATAGATCTACAATACTTTGATGTTTATAACATATCCAGGTACTGAATGCATATAAAATATAAAATTTATTACAAAAAGTATTTTAAATGGAAAGTTACTGCATTGATAACTTCAAATCTAAAATGTATATATGATTATCAAATACATATATTAATGTGTATACCTCCCTCCTGCAAATCCTCATTTTCCATGCTGAATGTCGTCCCTTGGATTTCTGTAGATCCTTAGTGGACCTGAAACAAACATTGGAATTTTACTAATGTTATAAATAAATAAATCTAGAACAATTGATTTCAAAATTTTATTGGATATAATAGAAAACCTATATACAAATGTGTCTTGATTTGAAAAACCATAAACCTCCTGAATCCAATCCAATGACACTCCAAACAATTAAAGTGTACATGTATTTCCAACACTGGAGATGACATCTGAAGTAATAATATTGTACAGCTGTGTACATGTCCGTCATATCTTCTCTCAAAAATAATTATATGTTGAAGATCGAGTGATTTAAAATCAATATTGTGTTGTGGGGCTGGCACTGATAACCCAGTGACCAGGTAGCTCAGTTGGTTAAAGCATCTGTCTATAATTCAGCAGTCCCATGTTTGAATACCAGTCTGGACCCATTATATTTTGCCTTTCCTAGCCTCTTACAGTGGTTCCTTGTTTCACAGGATGTATCTCTTATGAGTTTTAGTTCAAAAAACCTGTCATCTAGACATCTACCATGTGCACCCTCCATCAAAACAATTAATAGGAGATTATATAGTCAGTCGGACTAGAAGAGTTTGTCTTTGTACCTAGATAACACATAATAATTCAAGAAGAATGGGGTACAACATTTAATTTAAACAAAACAATAAATTATTAGCCGATTATATAAATGTCTGTAGTAGGCCTATAAGCCAGTAAGCTAATTATATACATAGTACATTATCATTGAAAGCAATATTAAACAAAGTTTAATTAAAGAAGTGTCCGAATTCCAAGGCAATGTTTAAACATTCACTATTGAACATTTTCAACAGCTGTATTATCTTTTATTATCACGTCCCATCAGGGCATTTACATGTGACAGCTGTAACAGTACATGTTGCTGCTGGTGAGATTTATAGAGAGCGGAGCTCTCCCATGGATAGGTAACATGTATGCAAGAAAAATAAAGATTATTCACAATACGGTACCTATGGAACTGAAAAACTTGTCTTAACATGGCCGCCAGTCGCACACGCTGTAGTCTCGCCCATCTTGATCTCGAAACAAGTTCTCGTTTGCCGAATCTCGAACAAATGTTACATTTTTGTAAGATTTAAAACTTATACCTAGCTATAGGATACTTAAATATTTGATACTTTCCGGTTAAAGACGTAAATTCTCTTGACATAACTTCACTGGCTAGGCCACATTGCTCTAGTTCTGAATGGTCGAAAAATCATTGTGTCGGTAGTGTTGTCTCGTTCAATCAGACGCTTGCACAGACAACAAGAGTCTTATTGAACAAGACTATCTGCAGTGGTATCAATCTCCACCCAAAGTTACGGTCCTTGCACTCCATACGACAACTCTGGGTAGAGATTGCAGTGGTATATATTTAGAAAACAGAATTTCAACAAAACAACATGCTGGTTGTCAACAAAAAGGGAGTTTATCACAGTGACGCAAAATGATACTATAAAAAGCCATACAAGTATTTTCGTAAGAATTTTTTATTTGATATTTTGCACACACAAAAAATGGAAGAAAAAAATTGAATCCATAACAATTTCAGTTTTGATAAATAATCTCACAGCTATTTTTTATTCATAAAAGAAAATCTGCTGTTTTACAAATCTGCACGATTTGAAAAAAAACAACTATAGTTTTATGTGCTGAACTGATTCAATTTTTAATTGTGGAAACTATACATTTTCTCTATTGCTAAAACTATATAGTTAGTAAGTTGCTGAAACAAATATACTCATTCCAGTGGAACTGAGATGTTGAGTATGTTAGATCTACAGTAAATGTGCAGTCTATCATTTCTGAATTGAGAGATATTTCAAATTATTTTTAGTCACTTGAAAATGTTTTTGTGAAATCCACATGTATTCCATCTGTTTCTCTTGAAACATTTCATGATTTCAATACATTGAAACGAAAACTGCAGTATTCTATGTATTCAGAAGAGGACAGACAACTACAGCAAAAGCACTTTGAGGAAGATTTGAAAACTATTAACTCTGCATTATTTGCTTTTACCACACCTGTGAGAAAGGGATCGCGACCTTTTGTTATGTTCCACAAAGAAACGTGGTAGAAAAACAATACATCAAAAAATTTATGAAGACATCATAGAAAGATTTGGATGATGGAGTGCATCCTAGTGATGTGCTGTCAAATAAATGGTATTATTTCATGTGTTTGTCTGTCGCTAGTGACATAGAAGTAAAACAAGCAATTCAATTTGAAGAAGCAATAAATGATACTGACTCCAATTTCAATGAAAATGACTCTTGAGACTTCAAGCGAAATTAATTTGTAACTATACCTAAGAAAATACATGTAGCAAATTCCATTTTGTATATATATATATGTAAGTGCGGTTGGTGACATGCCAGTCGCTAACTGCACGATTTAACTCATCTGAACCAGGGAAATTCCTCATCAAACTTTGTTGCCCTTTTTCTTCATTTTTGTGTTAGTAAACTTTTAACATGTTTGACTTCTCATGATCAAGAACTTAAGACAATTTTAACCAATCTTGGTCAAAAACATTCGTGTGTTATTTTGTATAAATTTTAGACAAAATTATATATATACATATTTCATCATGAATTCAGCTAAATAGAAGCATATCCTACCATTTTGTCAGTTTTTAAAATGTGGAGCATATATAACAACTACATGGTTATAACAACAAGAACAACCTGGAAAGGTAGCATGGTAATTGCGTGTGCAATCAAGAAAGGAAACTTAACTGTAATATACACTGTATAGCTATACATGTAGGTCTGATTTAGTAAGTTAACACATCACTCAATGCTTGAAAGAGTACAGTACCAATATTTCGGTACAACCTGGCTCCGCCCGCACTAACGTAAAACATATTTATATAATCAGATTCACGATCAGGTCCTGATTGCAATACGTAACAAATAAGTATTTGTTTTCATTGACATTTATAATGGCATTAATTAAGGTCGACAGAACTATCATACCTTCTGTATGAGTATCACAAAATCATCATTCTGTTTGTTCTCACGTGCACAAATACAATGTTTTCAGTGCGTGTCACTTTTTTCAAAACAGGAAGTTTATGATGGCTTTCTAATTTGCCACAGAATAATTAATAGTCCGGAAATTTAGAAAATTCATTTATTTTTATTTTTTATGAATAAACATCATTAGCATATATTGTCTTTAAGAATGAAAAAATCTGAGATACATTCATGTAAGTAAATAAAAGTAACATGCATTACAAAGAAAATTGTGTGGAGAAAAAAATAAAGGGTAATAATTTCCCACGAAACCGGTTATCTACGAGAATGATAGCGTGACCTGCAGATAATAAGTTTGCTATCGAGTTTTCGAGTATTTCTAAACACCTGTATGTGACAGGACGTTACTTTGTGACATATCCAAGACAATATGGCTAAAATACAGACAGGTAAGTAAATAGGCGTGCAAATATAATGAATAACATCATGATCAGTGTACCCAAATTGAAAGTAACGTTACTCGTTTGTAAGATCTGCAATATTTCACGTTTACGACGTCCAAATGTCAATATTTACCGTTGGTTTTCCTGTATGCAGCAGCTTATTTTTTCTGCAAGAAGAATTCGAAATTACACTCTTATTAGCTATACAGTTCTTAAAAGCTGAAAAAAAATGCAAAGTTCATTGTCCTGTATTAAAAATTAGAAAGTTATAAATTTAACTTAATATATCGAAAATACCTATATGCACTCCTTTATCATGCGCATAAATCAATCTTATTTATTAATGACGTTTTAATGTCTTTGAATATTAGTCGGACGATTTTTTTTCTGCATATGAAAGTGAAAGTGTAATAGGACGAGGAATAGTGATAAAGATAGTGCCGTCGCTGGGGCTCGAACCAGTGACCCTTGGCTCTCTAGCCCGATGCTCTAACGCTTAGCTAAAGGCAAATTCCCTACAGCTGATGCTTGTAAGGCAACTTTATCAATGCACATCTTTTACACTATTCCTTCCTTTTTTTATCAAACACCAACCCAGATTATTTAACTCCCCGCCAAGGGTTCTCCTACCTTGAACGGGGAGGGTTAACTGCACCAATTTGTAGTAAGACGAGGAATAGTGATAAAGATAGTGCCATGGCTGGGGCTCGAACCCGCGACCCTTGGCTCTCCAGCCTGATGCTCTACCGCTTAGCTAAAGAGAAATTCCCTACAGCTAGCTGTTGATGCTTGTAAGGCAACTTCATAAATGCACATCTTTTACAAAAGTATAACTTGTGAAATGCATTCAACCACAACACACCTAAGAATCTTACAAATGTACATGATACATTCTTAGGAAGTCATACTTGCCAACTTTTTTAAAATTTTCATGGAGGAGATTCTGCGGATGTGATACATATGTGTAATTTTTAGTAATGGAACTATACATACATGTATGATTAGCAACGGCAAGTATATTTGAGCTTAATGTCATCAATAGAACAAAGAGACATTCTCAGAAAATCTATACAGCCACTAGTACTGTTATAGATTTATATAAAAACATCTGTACAGCCACTAGTACTGTTATAGATTTATATAAAAACATCTGTACAGCCACTAGTACTGTTATAGATTTATATAAAAACATCTGTACAGCCACTAGTACTGTTATAGATTTATATAAAAACATCTGTACAGCCACTAGTACTGTTATAGATTTATATAAAAACATCTGTACAGCCACTAGTACTGTTATAGATTTATATAAAAACATCTGTACAGCCACTAGTACTGTTATAGATTTATATAAAAACATCTGTACAGCCACTAGTACTGTTATAGATTTATATAAAAACATCTGTACAGCCACTAGTACTGTTATAGATTTATATAAAAACATCTGTACAGCCACTAGTACTGTTATAGATTTATATAAAAACATCTGTACAGCCACTAGTACTGTTATAGATTTATATAAAAACATCTGTACAGCCACTAGTACTGTTATAGATTTATATAAAAACATCTGTACAGCCACTAGTACTGTTATAGATTTATATAAAAACATCTGTACAGCCACTAGTACTGTTATAGATTTATATAAAAACATCTGTACAGCCACTAGTACTGTTATAGATTTATATAAAAACATCTGTACAGCCACTAGTACTGTTATAGATTTATATAAAAACATCTGTACAGCCACTAGTACTGTTATAGATTTATATAAAAACATCTGTACAGCCACTAGTACTGTTATAGATTTATATAAAAACATCTGAAAAGTATTCATGAACTTAAGATAACCTGTAATATTTTTGACAGACTTGCTCTATTAGCCTGAGATTTTTTTAAATTATGAGGGAGAGAAAACCAATCATTCAAGACGAACCAATAGTTACCCTATTTGATTCAGCAGGTGCCCTTCTGCCCCTGACCATTGGGGGTCACATTCTCTGTTTATACAAAATTGAGTCCCTTTAATTGGCTCAAGGATGTTCAAGAGCAAATTTGAACAACATCCGTTTATTCCTACAGGAGTGGGATTCTAAATGATAAGCCTCCACATGTGTCACTTAACTGGGCCCACCCCTCTGCCCCCAGGGAGCCACATCCTCCATTTTTTTTTTTAAATATTGCCCCTTGGTCCAACAATGTTGCCGACCAAATTTACTCAAACTTCGAATTCATCCAGCAGTGTTCTAGGTGAGCTAAATAAAAGTGTTTCTATTGAGAATCTCAAATGTTTTCTTAAATTGGACAGATTGTTTACTTTTTGTTCAAAATGTAAATGGTGACAGTAATTGACTGAAATTACATTTGTAAGAAATATTTCCAGTGTTGTTATAAAAAAAAAACTTTCAGTGCTAGGCCTCATAGAGCCTAGTGAGGCTGGAGTAACCATGGCTCATGAACACCTCAAAATGGAGTTTCACTCGATGTATTCGCCACATCCTGATTCAAAGATACAAGATAAGAAGGATGATGACATCACAATGGAAAACTTGTGGTGGATACGTCAGCACCCGTAAGTTAATTAGTTTTCTCTCAGATTTCTAATTTAGGGATTTGGGTTCCACAGGTATGGGGGTCATGCCACCAGGATACATTTTAAATTGACACTGCTAAGATTGGAACCTCAGTAGTCCACTATTCTACTTTGTGAGTTAAAGAGGTAAAAAAAAACTTGAGCTAAGGGTCAGATACAGGATTATTTTAGTGGGGTTTATTATTACAAATTAATGTGGTCCAACAGTATACACTTTTGACCTTGTCACATTACATAAATGCTGAGAATATATGGAAGCATTCAATTGTTGCTTCAAATTTATAAATGTGACTGATATATCAAAACATTTTACATTCACGTACGTTAATTTCGATGTTTCTTCACTTTTGAATAAGTCATCATCTTCTTATTCAAATAGATTTACTGCACAACATGGTATTCAACACCTTCATAATGAACATCAAGAGTCAAACGTTTAAAATGTGACAAAACATAATATAATCAATAACATTATCATGATACAATGTTGAAATTTTTAAGCATTAGAAAAGAAGAAAAAAATTACTGCAAAATAATGTCCAAATAATTTTATTATCAGATATAGTAGTGTGCGAAACCTATATCTGAACGATGTAGAGGAAGCTGTGACTGCAGAGATGGAGTATTACAAGGTAAGTGTAGCACAAGGTCAAGGTCATAAGCTTTAAGGCTGTGGTATTACAAGGTAAGTGTGGCACAAGGTCAAGGTCAAAGCTTTAAGACTTGGGTATTGCAAGGTAATTGTGGCAGAAGGTCAAGGTCATAGCTTCAGGGCTGGAGTATTACAAGGTAAGTGTGGCAGAAGGTCAATGTCATAGCTTCAGGGCTGGTGTATAGCAAGTTAAGAGTAGCATAAGATCAAGGTCATAGCTTCAGGGCTGGAGTTGACAAGGTTAGTGTAACAGAAGGTCAAGGTCATAACTTTAGGGCTGAGTATTACAAGGTAAGTGTAGCAGAAGGTCAAGGTCATAGCTTCAGGGCTGGAGTTGACAAGGTTAGTGTAGCAGAAGGTCAAGGTCATAGCTTTAGGGCTGGAGTATTACAAGGTAAGTGTGGCTCAAGGTCAAAGTCATAGCTTCAGGGCTGTTGTATTACAAGGTAAATGTAGCACAAGGTCAAAATTGTAGCTTCAGGGCTGTAGTTATACAAGGTAAGTGTGGCAGAAGATCAAGGTCATAGTTTTAGGGCTGGATTATTACAAAGTGAGTGTAGCAGAAGGTCAATGTCATGGCTTTATGGTTTAAGTATTACAAGGTTAGTGTAGCACAAGGTCAATGTTAAAGCTTCAGGGGTGGAGTATTACAAGGTAAGTGTGGCACAAGGTCAAGGTCATAGTTTTAGGGCTGTAGTATTGCAAGGTTAGTGTAGCACAAGGTCAATGGCAAAGCTTCAGGGCTGGAGTATTACAAGGAAAATGTGGCAGAAGGTCAAGGTCATAGTTTTAGGGATGGATTATTTAAAGGTAAGTGTGGCAGAAGGTCAAGGTCATAACTTTAGGGCTGGAGTATTACAAGGTTAGTGTAGCAGAAGGTCAAGGTCATAGCTGCAGAGCTGGAGTATTACAAGGTAAGTGTAGCAGAAGGTCAAGGTCATAGCTGCAGGGCTGGAGTATTACAAGGTAAGTGTAGCAGAAGGTCAAGGTCATAGCTGCAGGGCTGGAGTATTACAAGGTAAGTGTAGCAGAAGGTCAAGGTCATAGCTTCAGGGCTGGAGTATTACAAGGTAAGTGTGGCACAAAGTCAAGGTCATAACTTTAGGGCTGGATTATTACAAGGTAAGTGAAGCAGATATTTTTTTCTGAATCGTGTTCACAAATAATGAATGATACCCTATTCTGTTACCATTTTAACATTCTAGTTCATTTTAAAGTTTCTGTATTAATTTTGTTATTACCTGTATTTTGGTCTGATAGATTTGTTTTAATTTGATGTAGAGTAATGGAGGTGGAACCATTGTGGACGTTACGACCATGGGTATAGAACGAGACATCAAATTTCTCCAGAAAGTGTCACAGGAGACTGGAGTCAACGTAGTGTCTGGAAGTGGTAATGTTCACTTAAGGATGTATGCTACCTTACATATTATACTTTACCTATGATTTATGGTAGAGTAATATTCCTTAGTAATTTCTAAATTAGCACTTATCACATGAGTATTATCATTACATGTCCACCAAAATGTAGTTAAGTCAAATTACTATTCAGAAATTAGAAATATGACGTGTACATGTATATTGTGTAGGACTTGCTTTTATTCCGAATTGATTACCATACCTAAGTTCCAAATTGACCCCCTATGTTCAAAATCAAACTTCAGAATTGAATATTTTGGTTAAATTCCTACCAGCAAACCAGGACCAGTATTTGAATGCTGTCAACCAATATAGATTTATATGTTTTAATTCATTTTCATGTTGTAATCTAATTAAAATTAATTCTGTGTTGGTTTATTATGAAACTAAGGACCTGATTATATTTATGTATTTTAATGCTTTTTAATAAAGTCATAAATGCCTCGCCCCCCCCCCCCGATTAATTTTGCAAAAATAACCACATTTACGATAGGTACAAGAACAAAGCAGATGTTTAGATAATTGAAAGGTTAAAGTGTGTGTGTTCTAGGATTTTATGTAGAATCCACCCGACCTGAAACGGTTGGTATGACAGTGGAGGAGATGGCTAATGTGATGACTGCTGACATCTCCAGTGGATGTGACAGTACCTCTATCAAATGTGGATGTATTGGCGAGATCGGTTGTTCCTGGCCACTGGGAGGTGAGTTCATTTAGTTATTTACTTCCCATTTTATATTTTAAGTTTACCAGTTTCCATCAGCCCACTTCACCTTGGTTTGGTCAAAGCAGCAAGAAATCACCCAAAAATGGCTCTGATTGTACTAATCATAATGATCAAGATTGGCTGTTATATAATTGGTTATCTGGTAAAATATAAAGTAAGGATGTTCAACATACAGCATATGCCATTGTCTAAGTCAGAAAAATTAAGGTTGATATTTGCGTTGACTAAATTGTTTTGTATTCCATGTGCATGCTTGTCAAAGCATAAAGAATAGAAATAGTCAAAATCCGTTTGACACTAAAACCAGTTGATCATGAACTTTCTTAGTAGTTCATACTGATATTCATGTAAAACAATCCTTAATGACTAAATGGCTATTGATTAAAAGTAGTGCTAGTAATTTAAACACCATCTAGTAACCCTGGAAATTATATTTTTTTGTGTGCAGCATCAGAGAAGCGAGCTGTCCAAGCTTCTGGTGTGGTACAACAGGACCTCGGCTGTCCAGTAATCTTCCATCCCGGTCGCCACCAGGACGCACCGTTTGAGTTGGTGCGCATTTACCAGGAGGCTGGTGGAAGGGTAGACAAACTGATCATGTCCCACCTAGACCGTGAGTAATTACAGGTTATAAGTCGAAGGATTACAGGTATTTCACCTGACCAAGGTCAAGGAAGGTTCTGTTGAGGCCCAGTATCAAATCATTCATTGGGAAAGAAAGGTGTTTTTTGGGAAACATTTACAAAAGACTTCTTTACAGGTTTTGTAGATGTCACATACTTAGAAATGGAATGGATCAATTAGCTTGTTACCTAAAATCTAGTACAGCCATATTTGTTTTATGTGACAGATGGGCATGAATTCATCATAAAATTAAATGAAATGTTCATTTGAAGAGCTGCCAGCTGATTCCTTTCCATTTTGCTTTACAGTTATTATCACTGTTGAATTTTCCATGTATTTTTTGTAAAATCTGGCAATCAATGTATTTTATTAGGTCACCTGAGACAAAGTCTCAAGTGACCTATTGCGATTGCCTTTTGTCCGTCGTCGTCCGTCCGTTAACAATTTACATTTTCGACTTCTTCTCCAAAACCACTGAACCAATTTCAATGAAATTTTGCAAAAACGTTCCATGGCCAAAGATCAACAAAAATAGTGGCCGGTTTGGTCCCCAGCCCCCAGGGGCCCGAGAGGCGGGAAGCGTCTTAAGGTGCTCTACCAAAATTGTGAATTTTATGACCCTGGGGTTTCACGTTTCCCCCTGGGGAGGGGGTAAACTTTACTATAGTATATATAGGGAAATCACATTTAGGTTAGCATTATTAGTATTTGATAGCAGTTTGATGGTATGCACATATCAGCCCTGACTGACCCCCCGGGGCTGATGGGTGGGGCCAAAAAGGGTTGAATTGACTGAAATTTCAAAAATCTTCTTCTCAAAGACCAAACACTCTTCATAGATGGAAGGGTATTGTTTATGACCCTAGGGGAAGGAGGGGGGGGGGGGGCAAAATTTATTATGGTTTATAATGGCAAATGATACTTTTAATATTACATGTTAATAACTTGTTTGGAATTATAACCCTGAGTTGACAGTTTGATACTTTAAAAATTTTGAGCCAGCTGGAGGGTGGGGCCCAAAGGCGTCAGTGTGCTAAAATATCTTCATTTTCCTTGTTTAGAATCAGAGGTGCTAGTTTCAAGTACTTTTTTAGTCTTAAATCTGTAAGCTAGATATTGAATAAGGTGGTTTTATTGTTTTTTGTCACTTTGAATAATATTTTTGTTCATGTTAAAATCAAAATCAACTCTCGTAAAGCATGCATTCATTTGGTACAAAATGTTCTTTATTGTTTGTATGAACTGTTAAATCTAACAATTGATGTCTATTGTATGTTCTGTAAAACAGTATAATAGTAGATCTGAAACAGCCTGGAATGTCATATATTTGATCATTTATTCCTCACACATATATTGTTGAATGTCATAAAAAAATGCTACATTCCAGACTAAAATTAAGAGGAAAATATTCATTGATGCAGAACAGTGTAAATAGGTAAACGGAAAAGGGGACAACAGTGCATGATGGAAAATATAATAAATACATAAATACATAATAAAAGTTCAGACAAGCTATATAGGTAGCAGTGTACAGTAGCGTACGATGGCCTTGGGTGATATTTTTATACAACGAATAACCCCTGTAAAATAACATGTATCAATTATTTTTTTAAATCAGCATTAAAATTGGCATATACATGATGAAGTGGACTACGTGGGCTTCATCATGTTTTTGGTTTGAGACTAAAATTTTGGGCATTTACAAATCTGTGTCTACACAACAAAAGCTAGCTTTTCATATAGTCTATTTTTGTACTTGGCACATGTGTAAATATTGTGAAAAATCACCCGGGATGACCTATGCTAAAACGTGAGTATTTCTGTTACCGAGTAGGCGGCATTTAATTTCAGACGGGTTTTAAGAAAAAAAACACTACTTGCGGGGGTCAATTTTTGGGTTAAAAATCATGTTTTTTTGCATATTTTGGTGTTTTTTGATGTGGTAACTGACTATGGTTTTCACAAGTCCCAAATCTAGGGAAAGCAGTTTTTGAAAAAAATATCAGTCTTCTAAACAAAATGAAATCAAAATGTAGTTTATAAATATGTATATATATGTAGGTGTGTTGTGCAGGTTAAATTCACTATCCATGTTTATCGAGACATATCCTTTATTTTTAGGGTCAAGCCATTTCTACTGTACACTGTTGTTACCTTATACACATAGAAATTGAATTATCTAAAAAAACACAAACACTTTTAAAAAGTTACATATATAGGTCAAAATATAGGTCACCTGTGAGATGTATAAAGAGGGGGGGGGGGGG